ATCAGACATTGCATTTCTCTTACAGTGCAAGTGGAATTAATAAATAAATATGAACTGTAAGTAACAGAACTATTGCTCTGTGGATAATGTCTTGATCAATTCTCCAGATTAATTTTATGGAAGAGCATATATCTGGATCCAATCAAATTGTCACTAATTGACAAACACAAACAACATAGCGCATGTCAATTAAGAGCAATAAACCAATATCCGGTGCAAAAAATCTAAGTAGTGAATTAGCATGCAGCATAGCAATTTGGATGGCAGATCCCAACATTTCATACCAGCACAGCTGTCCTGTTCTGAGAAACTTTTGGTTTGGCACTAGGAGGGCAATAGAATTGATGCCTTTCTTAAATGATTAGCACAATAACCAAGCAAAAGTCAACGTACAATGACAAGAATCAGCATTTCTAGCCTCATTAGCTTGAATCTGTATGGACAGCATAGGATTCCCGGACAGCTTTGAATGAATTTCTGTATATTCAAACTGAGCAATGATTAATCATAAAGTGAATCAGTATATAAATGTTCTTCGTGCTTATTCACTCGCACCCTGCACAATCTCATGCCCAAAATGAAGAGAGAGCAGATTCTAGCATATACTCTCTTTGCTTTCCTCATAGCTTCTCAGTGTCATTACTCTACAGGAATCGCGGTTCAAGCTGCAAAATCAGGCAAGAAACTACTCTCTTTGTTCCAAAGAAATTGTTCTTTTTTACTTTTTATAGATTAAGAAGGTTTTTTAATTTTTATGTTATATCAGTATTTTTTATTCAAATTTTTTCTGAAATACTCTTTTTTTATAGAATTGTTGGTCATCAAAATGGATTTTAATTAGAAGTATTTTAGAAATATACATCACTTAAAGGTAGACAATCTCTTTGAAACAGAGGGAGTATGCTTCTAACTTCTAAGCTTGATAATGACACATAAGGTGATATAATCTGAAATTTTCTCAAGGTGAAATAATCTTAAAAGCAGACAATCTCTTTCAAACGGAGGGAGTATGCTTCTAACTTCTAAGCTTGATAATGACACATAAGGTGAAATAATCTGAAATTTTCTCAAGAATGGAGCAAAAACAAGCGAACTCACTTCTTGTTTGCTGCTTCATGTAGTTGATTCCAGGCTCAAAAATGCACAACCGAAAATGAGGTTCACCGCTCGATGTATATTAGCTTCTTGGGTGAGTATCGTGCTTGCTTCTACATATATTTCTAGCTTCCTCATACAATCTTATTCATGACTACTCGTGTACTTCCTTTTAATTTTGTATGGTGGAAATTGATCGTCCCCTTTCATTTATTGTAGAAATCTGGAACGAAGTTCAAAGAAACTATTCACAAAACTCCGTCAGGCCCCAGCCCCATCGGAAATCTGCACAGACCATCTATCCATGTCTAAGATTGGACAGAAAGCCTCTTCATGCTTAATCAATGAAAAAGACGGTGCCTTTCGCAGGTCAAATGTTTTAGACATCAAACATCGATCTCCAATGCAAATTCGAAGAAGAATGTACTTTCTTCCAGAAATTGATAATGATATTTTTAAGTTTTGAGAAATGAATAGTTTTTACAGCTTAATTAGCACATTGCATGATCCCTATTTCATACTATGAGTCCTGCACCAGCATTTTGCATATGATGTGCATTTTCTTATACCTTCGTAGTTTCATTATCGACAACGACAAAGATGTAAAACATCATTACCAGGCTATTAGATCATAGAGAATCGCCTGAAAACTTTAACAAGTATGCAGGAAATTAACGGGCCGATCCACCTCCCGGAAAAGAAAATCATTAAAATGAACATAAATTGTTAACCTCTTGCAGATGGGAATGTTGTGCAGCAAATTTCGTCTCGTAATTGATTTGAACCATTTTTTTTTGGAGTTTCATACGATTATATTCCGATTTTGTTATTTATGAAAATGGAAGGATCTGATTGAGAATCTATTGATAAATTGCAAGCTTAATTGAGATTGTCTCATAAGCCGGAGACTTTTTTTTTAAGGTTTGCCTAAAAATAATAATATCAAAGGCACATTTCAATTTGCCTCTAAAGGTTATGTATTGTTTAATTTCACCTAAAATCTTTAACTTATTTTAATAAGACTCCGTATCTTTTATTTTTGTTTATTTTTCGAAAATAGTAAAAAATATATATATGAATTTCAATTTTATTCCCAAATTAATTAAAAATCTTAATATAACCTAAAATATAAAAATAAATCAATTAATACTAAAAAATTCATTTAATAAAAACCTTATATATATATATATGTATGTATGTATGTATGTATGTATGTTCAAATCTCAAAACTAAATTATCAATAAGTTATAACAAGAGAAATTTTATAATACTCAAGTCGTAACTAGTGGCATATACGGTGATACTAGTGGCATGTACGATAGTTACTTCATGGATTCACTTGGAGGAAAGAAATAAAAAAAGAGAGAGAGAGAGAGAGAAACAAAAGAGAGAAAATTTAAAAAAAAATTAAACAAAAGTAGAAATCCTTTTATCACTTTTTTGTGGATCGGGATGTAATTTTATGTGTATCTCTCTCCTAGGGGTGATCATTCGGTTTTTCGATTCTGTTTCGGTGTTTTTTTCGATTTTCGATTAACCGAATTGGTTAAAACAAAAACCGAAACCGACCCAAATTGAGGTTCTATTTTTCAGTTAAAAAAAAACTGATTTTTTTGGTTTTCGATTAAAAACCAATTTTTTTATTTTTTATTTTGCATTTTTTTCTAAAAATCGAATTATTTTGCTTTTAAAAAATATCAAACTTGCATAATCAAAGATTGCATATTTCACATTTGATTTTATAAGAAAATTGTGTATGATTATTATTATTTTTCTATACTAAATTTGTTTTTATTTATATTTATAAACTAAATTAGTTGGGCTTCTCATTATTTTTTCAATCACGCTATAATTGGTTTTTTTTATTAATTTTTCATATATTTTTTTAATCTATTTATTTTGTGCATATTTTATTGTTGAATATATAATATGAAAAATCCAATTTTTAATTTATGTTTGTGCCAATTTTAATACAAGGAGATAATTTTTTTTTATGAGGTTTTAGGATTCACCCACACATAAATTTGTGTATTTATAAAGAATTACTTTATCACAGTCTTTTTTTTAATTTTTTTGTGAGTCAATATAATATAATCAATTATTTTATTATTTAATAAATAATTAATGGAAAATATTTCTATTTTAAGTAGAAAAAAATCATTAAAGCTATTGTTCTTTTAGTTAAACCCATAGGCACCTCTTTGATTTTAAAAAAAGAGCTTGGGTATGTGTTTTTTTTTAAAAAAAAAAAACTAATTCGGTTTTTACTTCCAAATTTGAAAAAAAAAAACAGAACCGAACCGAAATTGCTAATTCAATTCGGTTCAATTTGGTTTTTCGGTTTTAACCGAATAATGCTCACCCCTACTCTCTTCTTCAAGTGTATTCATAGAGTAAGCTACGAGTACATGTCACTAGTTACTTCTTGAGTATTATAAAATTTTCTGTTCTAATAGATATAATGTCATTTACCAATAAATTCACTTTTTTAACTTCTTTTCTCAAATAGTTTAATCTTTATTGTACTTCCTATAATACCCTTTCAAATTTTATTTTATTTTCCCTATAAAAATGAAATTAGATAAAACAGGAGTCGTCTTTCGAACTGATTGGGCGGAAAGATAAGCACGTAAACCGAATCTATGCTAACAAAAACATAGAAGTTAAGGTATTCAATCACATCTGGTAAAACTTAAAAAATGACGTGCAATTTCTACAAAGCTAAAGACCCCAAAAGAAGAACTTTGCTTGAAAAAGCGATCAGACAAAATACTGCAGCTGGTAAATTTTTGATGTAGTGGATCAACACTGTAAAAGACAAAAAGGACACATCAAAGCATAATGAATTAAAAATCTCCATTAAACAACGTAAATCAGTTCAAATCCATGTCGCTAAGACTGACCTATAAACATTGTTCTTCCCTAAAGCATCACCATGTTATTTCCTACCCATAACACACGAATAAATCAGATCTGGAAAAAAAGAAATTCATTTATGATTGGATTAACAAGAACACGAATTCAGAATGATGCTTCAAAGTTAGGCAGAGTCCATAGACGGCCAATTAACTATGGATTTGAATCCAATGTCATAGCTGATTTTTTTTATTTTTAGATTTCCAAGGCCATACTATGAATATATTGCATAGCATCCGTGCAGTCTTAGAAAACAAGCACAGTGTGTGGCCAAAATGTATTCCTCAATAGAAACTTGATCTTTATACTGTTGGCGTTGAGAGGATAAGATACAAGATGAAATAACTGCTTTATATATGTGTGCGTGTGTGTGTAAATAGCTTTACAACGTGACACAAAGGAGACGTATTTGGGAAAAAACAATAGGCTCAAATAGATCAACCGAAAAATACGTCAATAAAAATAAAGGTCGAATTGCTCTTCATGTCTACAAATTTCTGAAACGAACTGTTAAACTCGTACCTCTATTTACAATTAATTGAAACAAGCTGAAGATTTTAGATGAAATTAATGCAATATATAAACCGCAAATGACCTAATAGATTCTAGGAGGGCCGGGCCCTTGTCGAGAAAGAGGATGCCTCATTACGAGCCCAATCTCTATGGCCTTTCCAATTAAAAATGAAAAACAGAATCACGCGGGAAGAAGCAAGATTGGTCGCCGTGTCTCTTCTGTTTCCACTTCTAAAACAAGAAAAAGAAACTTCACGAACCAACCAGAAGCCAACGTACCATTCATACGCTTAAATCCAACGGCTCATATTTAACCAATCGATTCTGCTCGAAACCCATGCCTCAAAACCAAAAACATATATAAAACCCTCCCTTCCCTCTTCAACATTCAGCGTCTCTCAGGAAATAAACGAAAAACAAAAACTTACAATTCTCTGCTTTCATTCTCTCGATTCTATTTTCTTTTGTTATCGACAATGGCCGGAAAAGGAGAAGGGCCAGCGATCGGGATCGATCTAGGCACAACATACTCATGCGTCGGCGTATGGCAACATGACAGAGTTGAAATCATAGCTAATGATCAAGGCAACAGAACGACTCCGTCTTATGTTGCTTTCACTGATACAGAGCGTTTGATTGGCGATGCTGCTAAAAACCAGGTCGCGATGAACCCGATCAACACCGTTTTTGGTAAGTACATTGATTCAAAACTTTGTATTTGTAGAAGCAATTATTTATTTTGTTCAATGCCTGCCTTTACTGTTTGGAAAATTGTAATCTTCTTTAAGTTTATTGTTTGTTTACATAACTCTAATAAGGCAGTTACAACTACATTGTTAAGTTAACGCAGAGCTTAACTTGAAATCAGTGCTGATTATGAAGAATTAGAATGAAGTGTAGATTAATAGGGTTTTTAGTACAATTAACCAATTAAGGGTTGCTGTTTTAGCTTGAATCTTGATAATGCGTGATTAATTATTTGTAGACAATGAGAAACGCCGTCTTTGGTTAAGTACATTGTGCTTATAATTTGTTCTGATTTGATAGTTTTTTCCAATTTTTTTTAACACTGTCAGTATCAAAATTAAATTCCGTTTGGAAAATTGAAATTTGATTGATATTTATTTATTGGTTTATTGGCTGAGAGAATAAAAAGGGAGCCAAACGATCGCTAGATTGATAATTTGTGGGAATTTGAATTTATAGTGAAGCTAAAATACAATTTACAACTTTAACAACTCCACTTATCGATTCTCATTGGGTTCTGTACTAAATCTATGAATCATTGATCGCTGATGGTATATTTTTTTACACGAATCACAGATGCAAAGCGTTTGATTGGTAGGAGATTCAGCGATCTTTCAGTTCAGAGTGATATTAAGCTTTGGCCATTCAAGGTCGTTGCTGGTCCTGGGGACAAGCCAATGATTGTGGTTACCTATAAGGGTGAAGAGAAACAATTTGCTGCCGAGGAGATTTCGTCAATGGTGCTCACTAAGATGCGTGAGATCGCTGAAGCTTACCTTGGCACCACTGTCAAGAATGCTGTCGTCACCGTCCCTGCTTACTTCAACGACTCTCAAAGACAGGCCACAAAGGATGCTGGTGTCATCGCGGGTCTAAATGTAATGCGTATTATCAATGAACCCACTGCCGCTGCTATTGCTTACGGTCTTGATAAGAAGGCAACGAGTGTCGGTGAGAAGAATGTGCTGATCTTCGATTTGGGTGGTGGTACTTTTGATGTATCTCTTCTTACCATTGAAGAGGGTATCTTTGAGGTGAAGGCCACAGCTGGTGATACCCATCTTGGAGGTGAGGACTTTGACAACAGATTGGTGAACCACTTTGTTCAGGAGTTTAAGAGGAAGCACAAGAAGGATATTAGTAGAAATCCCAGAGCATTAAGGAGGATGAGGACCGCTTGTGAGAGGGCTAAGAGGACTCTCTCATCCACTGCTCAGACAACTATTGAGATCGACTCTCTGTTTGAGGGGATTGATTTCTACTCGACCATTACACGTGCTAGATTCGAGGAGCTCAACATGGATCTTTTCAGGAAGTGCATGGAGCCTGTGGAGAAGTGTTTGAGAGATGCTAAGATGGACAAGGCCAGGGTGGATGATGTTGTACTCGTGGGTGGTTCTACTAGAATCCCCAAGGTGCAACAGTTGTTGGAGGATTTCTTCAATGGGAAGGAGCTTTGCAAGAGCATCAACCCAGATGAGGCTGTTGCTTATGGTGCTGCTGTGCAGGCTGCAATCTTGAGTGGTGAAGGGAACGAGAAAGTTCAGGACTTGTTACTCCTGGATGTTACTCCTCTATCTCTTGGATTGGAAACAGCTGGAGGTGTTATGACTGTTTTGATTCCAAGAAACACTACCATTCCCACAAAGAAAGAGCAGATGTTCTCCACCTATTCAGACAACCAGCCTGGTGTCTTGATCCAAGTTTACGAGGGTGAGAGGGCAAGAACAAAGGACAACAATTTATTGGGCAAATTTGAACTATCTGGCATTCCTCCAGCACCAAGGGGTGTTCCTCAAATCAATGTGTGCTTTGATATCGATGCCAATGGTATCTTGAACGTGTCTGCTGAGGACAAGACTACTGGCCAGAAGAACAAGATTACAATCACTAACGATAAGGGCAGGCTGTCCAAGGAAGAGATTGAGAAGATGGTACAGGAGGCTGAGAAGTACAAGTCCGAGGATGAGGAACTTAAGAAGAAGGTTGAAGCTAAGAATGGTTTGGAAAATTATGCCTATAACATGAGAAACACCGTGAAGGATGAAAAGATTGGATCCAAACTTAACGCAGCTGATAAGAAGAAAATTGAGGATGCTATTGATCAGGCCATTCAGTGGTTGGACAGCAACCAGCTAGCCGAGGCTGATGAATTCGAGGACAAGATGAAGGAACTAGAGAGCATCTGCAATCCTATCGTTGCCAAGATTTATCAGGGCGCTGGTCCTGAAATGGGTGGCAGCATGGATGACGATGTTCCTTCGACTGGTTGCAGTGGTGCTGGCCCTAAGATTGAAGAAGTAGATTGATTGAAACTCTCTTTTCAACTTCTAATATTAGGGTTTCATGTCAGGATGCCTTCACTGGATTTTGTAATGGATAATTTTGGCTCTCTTTGTGATAATGCTGGAGATACTAGCATTACCTATCCCTTTTTTTTTTTTTTTTTCCAACTTCGCTACCTTATTGAGTTAATTGAGTATGGTGATTCAGTGAATCCACTTGGATCATCTTTTTTATTCTATTCATTTTTTATTTCTGACACGATAGTAGAAGCTTTACTCATCGTCCATCGGTTGCCACCTGGATGGAGCTGAAATTGAGGGAATAACAAAGGGTTAAGCTAATAAAATTACAATTTTATTTATAAGTCATTTAAAAATTAGTTTTTTTACTTTCGATTTCTATTTTAATTTTGACTCTATATTTTAATATGTTTAAAAATCAACTAATTCTATTTTTTTTTTGTCAAAACTCACTCCATGATGAAAATTACTTCAACTTTTAACCTAACCAATCAATTTTAATTTTTTAAAAAATTTTTGAAAACAATTGTAATATGATGATTTTGATTTTGATTTTGAAATTAAAAAAAAAAAAAAAACAAAGAAGAGATTTAAGGATTCTAGTGTTTTTGAGACAGAACAACAAAAGATATTTAAGCAACTAGTAATCTTGTTAAATTAAAAAATAAAGAAAGAAAGAAAAGATTTTAAGGCTAATATATATATATATATATATATATATATATATATATATATATATATATATATATATATATATATATATATATATATATAAAAGAAAGATATTTATGCAATTAGTTTTTTTCTAAAAAAATAAAAAAGAAAATTTGTGAAGAATTAAAATTATGACATTAAATATTGAAGTTATTTATTTTATTTTCAGGTTTTAAAATTTATTCTATAAAAAAAATTAAAATAGTCAATTAGATTGAAAATTATAAGTATTTAAGGCATTCATTAGTTTATTATACAAAATATGAAGGATTTTTTTTTTAAAAAAAAAACATAAATCTTGATTTTAAATATATCAAAATATAGAAAAGTCAAAATTAAAATTGAAAAAAACATGAACTAATTGTCAAATGACTTTTCAGTTCATGAGAAATTTGATTAGTTCAGCCGAGCGACAATTATTAATTATATCCTGCATTTTCATCTTCTACTGTTTCTTGACTCCTATAATTCCAATTTAGTTAAGCATCCAATCATGGACGGATTCAAAGTGTGGGCAACGAGGGCCCTCCTCACCCACGCTGTCCAAAAAAGTATTCCCATGAGAAGATAGATTGGTTATTGGTATTGCCTTTATAAGAAAATATCGTAAGTACTATTTTCGTCCCTTAAATCCTCGTCTTTTGCAAATCTTAGTTGTTCCAATGTAGTAAACGAGCTAGCTTGAATCTAAGCATTTTGCTTAAAACACAGGTAGACAACCAATTTAGCAAAAATCCTACGCTAATAAATTCCATGAATAAGCAACCAACGCCTAGTTCTTTAACTCTCTATATTCAAATGGTTTGGAAGAGATCTTGTAAATAGCAAATTGAAATTCATTAGAAATTATAGTTTATATATTTCATGATTAATCAAATCATATTGATTTTGCCCCCACAGACACGAGATCCTAGATCCGCCCCGGCATCCATTCACGGGTCCTCAAAATTTTAGCCGCCTATATAATTCAACCTTATAGGCTATGTAACACAGTTGGTGGTCGAGGCACCTATATTATTTTCAACCTTATAGGGTATAGACAGTTTGGTGGTCAACGTATCATCCGGTGAGTGCTTGTTATTGTTTCTGGCAATGGCCTCCACGTGTTACTCCTTATACACGTGGAGACTGTCGGCGATAATTGTTGACTTTAGCAGTAAATTTGGTCTCACAGCATAGGTATTCTGGAAGACACTGGATCTTGGTGCAGGTACCGCCGACATCGGTAGAAGAAAGTTTTTGGACAGGAAGATGGTCCGCTGTGGAATCAACGCCACGAGACTTTACCGTTTAGTACAATGCACACATCGGACTGGACGAGACAAATACGATAGCTTCAATATATTCCTGTTTATCGCAAACAAAAGAAAGGATAAGAAGCAGACTTGTGCTATCGTAATTCGCATCCGAGATTTATTTATATCACAGGTTGATGCACCTATGATCTTAGCCAAGTTCAACATGAATTGCCCTGATATATCAGACATCACGGTGATGGCCTCCATAAAGAATTGGTATATTTTCACAGAAAACGAACACGTGAACAGCATAGCAAACGAGTTCACACTTAATATGGGAAACTGAACACATGAAAACTGCAACAACCATATTTTATGCAGGCGGTGAAAAGAAAACTATAACTTCACCAATTCTCCTCTATTAGTGACCCTTTTGCGGTAATGAGTTCCGACTCTTATGGGATTGAGCTTACCTATCACCCCACGATCAGAAGGACAAAAGAAAACTTAGGCCATACAACATAACGAGTCGCAAAACGAATACATAGAATCCAGATCATCATAGCAGCCGCACAAAATCTCTAACACGAACCAAAAATTAATCCAGCTTTGTACAGAAAACATATAGAAAATGAAGTATTGTCATTATCTAAAACAAATAGTGATCCATATGTACAATGAATAGAAGAAAACACGCTACCTAACAACCTCTATTTAATTCAGACTACCTTTGCAAGTAGCAGCAATCATGCTCCACAAACAATTTATAAGGTTACAAATGGCATAAAACAGAAATGGATGCAAACATGAGGTTACAAGTCCTTGCTCATCCCATGAAACAAGTCCAAGGAGTTGAATGTTTAAAACAAGCACAACGGTCATTAGTGCATTCCAGAGTCAAATCAGCAATTATAGTTCTTTCCCTTGGGGAATAAGAATAATTTACCGGGTAAAGCCACCAAGTCCAAGCATGAATCGCAAATATAAATGTATGAAAGAAAAGGACATGAAATTTCATCTACCAAAAGGGAAAATATCATTTCATAGATTGCTTTATGGAATGAGGTTAGTAAACAATGAAGCACCAACCACTCTAACCGTCCTTACATCTTCAAACCAATCTCTTACAGCTTGACAAACGCTCATTCACTCCATGGAGAGGGGCGAAGGCATACACGAACCTCATGTTCTTCTGGTCCTACACGATGCTTGGGCACAATAATTTCAAGCACTGTTCCTGTCTCATCACGGTATGCTTCCAGCTTCGCATCTTCTGGAATGAGATTTGGGAGGGGAATTTCCCTAATGAATTCCCCTGGAGGGCAGTGCTCTGGTGTTGGATCTGTTAGCTTAAATGTCCTATCATGCCGCTTAATATATGGCATGCCTGCTGTACTTATACAAGATATCTTAACAATACCATGCGATTTAGTATTCCTCCAAGTAACTTTCACCCTTTGGAGATCTGCAAAAGGCAAGCTGACAATGACTAAAAAAGCTTTATCATCCTCGTATATTGTTTTCGCTGCTGTAACAGGCCCATATACATTCTTCATTACCCCACTGAACTCATTTAACCATGTTGGCTCAACCGGATGGATATTCATATCAACTGAATGCAAAAATTCATCTTCACTGCCATGCTTCCGCTTGTTGCTAATAGGAGACATGTCGACGCCTTCACCATTGCTATGGTCCGTGGACTGAGTAGAGAGATTCAAACCAGTACCATTAAGCAACTTTCTTGGGTGGGCATTTCCATTACTCTTTAATGGAGGGGCCCGCTCAAGCTCAAATTCGGTGCTTGGAAGGTTCCTCCATGAACCAAAATCACTTGCCTCTTGAGGAATGCAGAAATTGATGTCTCGGCCTGTAAGCTCCACCCACCTCTTCCGCTCTTCATCATCAAGATTCATGAGATTGGGTGATCGAACAATTTCAATGCCATGAACGCACTGAGGGTTGGAGAGACCCCTATAATGCTTCCGCTGCATCCTATGAGAACGGACAAAGCCCCTATCAACACTGAATGGAAAGGGGGCTCCCCTTGGCGAGAATGGCCATTCATGTAGCTCCTCAGTTGCATTTTACCCAAGGCATTTTCAGGCCTTTCCTTGAAAACCCACATGTACATGTTCTCCATGTCATGCTGAACCAAAAACGCATCAAGCTGCAAATCTGATTTCTCAAACCCAGAAACACCATTACTATCCCTATTTATTTTGCATTTCGACTTCTCATTCAACACAGGCTTGAAATAGAAGCTAAAGAAGAACCAGGCACCCCAAATGCTATCGAGACGCTTTGTGCATTTCTTCGCAACTTTTGGAATACTGACAATTGTCTCAGCCTCATAAATCTGAGGGCCAAGGCCTACATCCAAGATGTCACACGGATCATTCCAGGTAAGGGGAGGAGGTGGACTAGGCTCAGACGACAACGGGAGATTGATATCAGGAGGCCGTGAAAGAATGACAGACCGATTCATCTCCCTCTCCAACTCATCATGTGCAAGAGAACCTGAATCCATCGAAAGTAGTGTGGATGGGTGATAATTTTCCATCGATAAAGTCGTTAGAAGAGCTTCCCCCATATTCTGTTTTCCTCCACTGTTTTTCCTTGCTTCTGGGTTTGTGATTTGCAATCCCAGCAATATAACTACTAAAGGCCGACGACTAACATCTTTATTGAACAAACAAACAAAAACCCAAAAAGAAAAATATTTACAGACCTTCCTGCCTAATCAACAAAACCAAACAAACAACTCATAAATATCTTCATGATTTCAAATCCCCACAAATTCCCCCAACAGCAATTCCCAAAGTTTCATCAAAGAATCAGCAAAACAGCAAATTTTAATATCGGTATCATTAGCTCAACAGCAACCTGGAAAAAACAAAACAAAAAACATTAACCCAAAAAATAATCAAATTTTTTCCTTCTAACTACTGATACACTCTTTAAAAAAAAATCCACTCCCCGGATGCCAAGGAAACAAAGAAAATAACAGTTTATAAAATCTCTAATTTTTCAACCGAGAAATGAAGCAGAATAAAGTGAAAACTTCAGATTTAAAACAAAACCCAGATTAAGGAAAACTCTAAAATTGAAACTTTAAATTCTATTCAAGCTTATTTAAACTTCACCAGTAATCAAAAAGTGAACAACAATCCAAAACAAGCAACGACTTGATACCCCCTGGAATCTGATAAAAATTCCCTGATAATAGCAAGAAAATAAAGTTACAGATTCAAAGCAATCAAATCCACCAAAAATAGAACACTACAATCCCAAAAGGAAAAAATAATAATTAGAATTTAAAAGATAAAATCAAGGAGATTCGAAAATTACCTAAAAAGAGAGGCTTCAAAATCCACCCGGAACAGAGACTTTCACATTCGATCCCTATTTCTAGAGAGAGAGAGGGAGGAGAGAGAGATTGAAGAGAGAAAAGAAGAGTAGAGAGTGTAACGGAGGGCATTTTAAAGAGACGGAGTTAATTAGGAAAGACCTGCACCAGGTAACCCTACCGTTTGGTGGTGATAATGGTTGACGTTAAGTAACGGTGATAAGAGCAATTGGAGGGGTCAAAATTGGCGTCTTATGAGGTAAAGTGTTTATCGTCATAAAAAAGAGAGAAAAAGAGAACACGTAGTGATGTTGGACATTTTGTGTTGCTTTTGTATTTACTACGACTAGCCAATATATTAATGGTAATCTTCATCTTGCCGTGAAAGTACAAAAAAGTCCTCTTTCATGGAATATCCATCTCTTTACCACAACTACTATGAGAGGATAAGAATGCAATTCTCATTTTTCTTTTGTAAATTAAAATTTAAATAATGAGTTTTTCACGTGGAGTGGAGCACTTTTTTCCTTTTTCCTTGCATATGTGTTCCTAGGAGTGATAGCTTTTATCGGCACATCTCAATTTATCAAGTTTAATAGTGGTTGTAGATTTTGGTGGTTGTTACGTATCATGTATGTTCATATTATAGGTATTGTGAGAGATATTGGTGGTTGTTAGCTTTAAGATTTTTATGATTATTTAGGATAGATTATAGATATTTTGGCTGAATTTCATGTTTGTATGAACGTGTGAACATAGATCGAGGCTTGAGTTATAGAAAAATGATTGTGAATACGGACTGTAAAAAAATTGTGCATGTTGTTATAGAGTTGTCGAGCAATTCTTCCTCTTACTATGTTATCATTGGATATATTAAAAATCTTCTCTCTTAGTGAGATTGTAAGTTTGTATTCATACTCTCGTAAAGGACAACTAACGTGTAAACTTTCTTACCAAGTCGGGGAGTTCAAAGTCAAATTCATGCACATAGTTATTTTCATCCTCTTTGACTTGAGTGAGTTTTTATTAAGACATAGTTTCCATGTTTTGTTTGTAAGGAATTAACATTTGGCTTTCCATCTATTTACCAAAAAAATAAAAAAAAATAGTTTTCATGAAATTAACATCAAGAGATACAGATTAGTTTAATATTGACTTCGATTTGATTTATAACCAGAGTTGAAATTAGAATTTACCTTTTTTTTGTCATTAAAAAATATTTTCAAAACAACTTGGTCGTCAATTGAGATTAAGTATTTTTTTTTCAAATCATTTTAAATATATTTTTAGCATATTTATAACAATTTAATAAATTCTTAAAGTGCAATCTTAAGATTTGAATTCTTGAAATAAAAAATATTTTTTCTATTTTTATCATGAAGGTGAAAAAATCTTAATTTTAATAAATTTTCTACTTGATTTTTTTGATTGATATCACCCATGGATTTTTAAAAAGATTTTCCGTCTGTATGTGTGTGTAATTTTTTTTAAAAAAATATTCTAGATCGAGTATTGGTTTTGATCCATGTGTAGGTGCTAAATAACTATAATTGCTATGGTTGATTATGTTCTTAAAAAAGATGTTCAAACCAATTGAAAGATTCGATGTGATGTCTAAATGGATATACCTATTAATCATCGGTTTTAACATCCATTATGGTATGCGTAAGAATATTCATTTAAATTTGATTTATCCAATAATTGACACAATAACAAGCACGTACTTAATTAATCATCCACGAGTGGACAAGTTAGTTGTCAATAATCCATATCACCTTATGGGAAGATCTCATAAAATAAGAGAACAAATGTTACCTCAAGAGCACCGAATCCCTACAAGGCATGGGTATCTTCATGATTTTTGCTCCCTTATTACAAGAATTTCTACCATGCCCTCATTTACATGCATATCTAGCAATTTATTTATTTATTTGATCTTTATTCTTCTCTTTAAAAAAAAATATATTGTAGGTTTTACGAAAAAAATAATTAGTTACATAACCGATAAGTCGAGTCTAGTTTTGCTTTTTGTTCCTTTTATTGTGAGAAATTTTATAAATACACTAGGAGTAACTAGTGATATGTACGATAGATTACTTATATGAGCTCACTTTGAGGAGAGAGATAGACATACAAAAAAATAGAGTGAGAAAATAAAAAAAATTTAGCGGACGTGAAAATCTTCTTAGCACTTTTGATGAGTATAGATGTAATTTCTATCTTTTTTATGTGTCTATCTCTTTCCTCAAGTAAATCAATAGAATAAATATTATACATATCATTAGTTACTCATAGTGTATTATAAAATTTCTCCTTTTATTGCTATGTATATTTTACATTCATAGTTATAAAATTTTGGATAACACCGTTACTTTAGAAATTTTTTTCCATGCGCACAATGAATTGTATGACAATTAATCAAGAATCGTGAGTTAAGTTATTCTCATGTTATGCAAATGGATAGAATTCCTGTTTTTTTTTTTTCAAAAAAAAAAAACGGAAAAGCAAACAAGATTCTAGGACGCGGAGAAACTACGTCATCAATTACCTCAGAGTCATTGTCGTGTCTTGAAAACAAACGACTATCAGCCTACCCCTTTTGCGGAAACAACCACCGCATTTCCTAGCTTCGTGAATCAAAAGTAATTTCGTCAATAGTTCACACGCTTTAGTGCTTGAATATTCAAAAACAAAGTCAAACGATCTTTGACTTCACAAACATATTGGATAAGTCATACAACCAATAATTAAGTTGCAAGTTCAAAAAAAAAAAATATATATATATATATATATATATATATATAACCCAAAACAACGTTTGCGTTCTCTCTTGGAATTTGAATCTCAAATTATAAGATCAGTATTTAGAAAAAATATATATTTTTTAAATGTACTGGAATTCATATATAAAATATATTCTTAAAGTTTGTATATTAATAAAACCTTAATCTTTTGTTGCGGAAACTGTGAAAGTTCATATATATATATATATATATATAAAGAATGAGAATAAAGTTGGAAGCACGAGCTCTTCTTCTTTTTTTTTTTTTTTTAAGTACGATAGTTGCGTGGGTGTTCACATTCTTGATAATGTCACAAAGTCAGCTTATATATGAAAAATCCTGATAAATGAACCAAAGGGATTCCTTGCCCAGTACAGTACTGCTCCGAATTATAGAGTAAATTATAAATTTGTCCCTGTCGTTTTGAGGAAAAAAAATAATCTCTCATTTTTTCAAAAATTAATTATTTAGCTTTTTTAAAAATCTACTTGTAATTTAATCCTTTTTTCTTATTTTTAATTAATTTTAATTTTTTATTTTACGAAATAAAAAAAATTATGAACAAATTATAAGAAAATAAAAGATTTTGTGAAATAAATTAATATTAAATTACATACGATCAATATTAATTAAAAAATTAAATAACATTTTTGAAATAAGAAGACTAATTAATTTGTTTCTTAAAACTAGAGGGACTAATTTATAATTTACTCCCAAATTATATCTACACACATGTATATGTGTGTGTATGTGATTAGCTAGCCTCAGGTCTTTTCTGCGCGTGGTCGTCTAGTCTAATCCACGAAAGTGATAAGCTATTGGTGAGCATATTAGTTAAAACACTAATTGGAAAAAGAAAAAAATAGCAATTATTAGAGATTCCTTCTTTCACTTTATAATAGCGATAAGGTTTGAAAAGCAACAGCGAAAGGCCAGAACCCTTTAATTTGCACGGACGTACAAGTTGAAACAACCAGTGCAGTTCGCGTTCAGTCTTTGCCGAGACAAAAGAATGGAACTTTATCTTTCTTTCTTTTTTCTTGTCTTCGTGTAAAACATAATTGGTAATATACATTAAATATAGAATAAGTTATAAATTAGTCCTTTTATTTTGAGAAAAAAATTAATTAGTTTCTCTTGTTTTAACAATTAATTATTTAATCCCTATATTTTTAATTTTTTGTAATTTAATCATTTTTATTATTCTTCAATTTATTTTGACTTTTTAGAAGTAAAAAAAAAGTTAAAAATATGAAATTGTTGATGAGAAATAATCATATTACTTTAAATAAATTACTATTAAATCAAATAATGATTGATTGATTAATTTCTTGAAAAAAAAATTATTATAATTTATTTATTAAATATAATTAGTTAGGCTTGATTTAAATCAATGGTTAAGATTTATTCATACAGAGTTGGTGGCAGTTACAAACTTTCTATATACAAAAATGGGTCCGTAGTTAATCTTTAGTTCATAAGAAGTATTTTTTTAGGTTTAACAATAAGTGTGGTTTTGGATAAGTTTTTATACACTTTAAAACTAATTTCTTTTTTAGAGTGGCTAACGAATATTCTCTGACCCACGGTTTCGAATATTTCATAATAAATTTTTAAAAATATTAACCATAAATATCGAATTTTGAAACTGACCTATAAATTATCGTTTGTTTAGCAATGGATTACCACTTTGTGGTTAATTCATATGAATCATAACATGCTATAATTAAGCTATTAATTTAAATTTAATGATCTCGAATGGTCATAAAGAATTTTGATTTATCATACTAGGTAACATTGTACAAAATGAATTTGATATTAATACGTGTACACATACAGTTGTTTAGTAGATAAGATTATTTGACATCACCTAAAGTTGATAATTGAATTTCACTTATAATGAGAAAAACCAAAGAAAAGAAAGAGAAGGAAAGAAAAGTTATTGGTTCTTTCAGCCCATTTTTCCTTTGTTGTTACTTTTAAAGGAGTGTTGTCAGATATATTGAAATGATGGTTTCTCTCACCGACTTTGAATTCTAATATCAACAATTTGGAATCACTTCAAAACATATTTTTCTCAATTATCAAAGTATTTATTTATTTTTTATATATCCCCTGCATATCTATTGACCAGGTCAAGAACTAGCCTATCTAATCACGTAGTCTTCTTCCAAGCACTTGAAAATTGTTTACAAGTGAAAAATGTTGAAGGCCAGTACGAAAAAGCAGCTCTTGGCATTGTTTAAAAGACAGCTAAACTACCAATAAATTATTGGTTCGGTACCGAACGAATTAATCTTCAAATAAATTTTTTATTAATTTATAAAATTTAAATTCTAAAATTATAATTATTAAAAAATTAAATTTTATTATTTTCATTAAAAATATAATTAATTTTATCTCTAACATGGAATCTAAAAAGATTAAACTAAAAATTTAGATTCATTGATGCTTTGCTGTGTCCACAGCTAACCATCAAACCAAAATAAAACGCACTAACAAGCAGAATACAATACAACTTTATAATCGGCAATGTCTGGATAGCACCTTAGTTCTTGGGGGTTTTCTCGGTGAGGTCTCATCTTGGCCGGTCGTTCATGATGACTTTTTGTTTTTTATTTGATGTACATTTTATTAATATAGCCACTCTAGCTATCAAATTATTTTGGCAGTCCTTCATCGATTATTGTCAGTTTTTATTGGACGAAAGAAACCACAATCACAGCTTAATTAAACACGATAATCCGCAAAGAGAAATACACGGTCTTGAATCTGATCTCACCATGCATGTTGCTTAATCTGTAAATTCGTAATCTCAATTATATTTTATTTTATTTTTATCTGTGTGTACATAGTGTTAGAGTATTTTTTTATATAAAATATTAAAAAATTATTTTAATCATTTATTTTTTATAACAGTCAGAAACAGTAAAAAATGACTATTTTTTATAATGATTAAAAATAAAAATAGTTATTTTTTATAATGATAAAAAAATTAAAAACATTTATTTTTCATAATATTTTTCATTACTTATATGTATGTTTTTGTTGTTGTCAGCTGCAAAAAGCATGATATACACTACCTAAAAAGAAAACCAACAGATCTATCATTTTTTTTCTCCCACTAAAAATCCATAGTATTCTTTTGTATCATAAATTCGAGGTAAGAGTAGTACAATTTTATTGAGTTTTAAGTCTTACAAATAATACAAACTTATAAGTAAGCCATAAGATGAATACGCTTGTTGTATCTCTAAAACAACATACAACATACTTTAATCTGTTATATCAGAATTTTCTATAAACAAGACGTATTGTCTTAAAAAAATAATATAATTATACTTTGAGACAATTATTTAAAAAAATAATTAAAAACTTATTTTTTTAATGTTTTGACATTCGTTATTTAAGATAATATCTAAGTTATTTTTAATTTGTTTAACTATGATGATTTTGATGGTCCACTTGTATTTATACCATGAAACTACATTACCGTAATTTTAATTCTTAATTTTATATATATATATATATATATATATATATATATATATATATATATATATATATATTTATTTTAATTGACAATGAGTTTATTTATTTATTATATAATTTTCTTTTTATGTGCCAGTATCAACACACAAGAAATCCAAAGCACTTGAAGTACTCACTAACTACCAGCAAGATTAAACAGTAGTTGATACATGACCGATTTAGTTAAGCTGCCTTCATCAGTACTGTTTATTGGAGGTGCCACATTGATGCATTGGATCACGACTACTTATTTTACTTTTTATAATGAGAAGTGATCCGCTTACTCGACAGAATTGAATTTAAAATTGTAACATTATTTTATTTCTGTTAAACCATGACACGGAACATTAAATTTTATATTCTATTAATTTGATATATTCGTACGGATACTTATAATTGAGTCTCGGAGGAACTTCTCCAACGAATAGACCAACCCGCCATTACCGTGCTACTTTATTTGAAAAAAGAAAAAAAAGCAAAAAGAACACAATAAATTAACTCAATTATGTAAGAAGGTTGATCTGCTAGTGATTGTTTAGTACATGATTAATCAAAAGGATGGTCTAAGAAATTGGGTTGCCCTAGCCTAAATTGTCCATTTCTATATTATTCGAATTGATTAGTAGCAATTACTTGTTAAAGGATCATCTCACTTAAAAGCTTAATGTCTTAGAATATAATTTATATTAGTCTTTAATACATCATCTCAAGTGAAAGCCTCAACATTTCAACTTAAAACTTGCATAGGTCTATATTATCTTTTACTTACTACTTGAGAAATTAAGTATTGTGAGATTTTCACTCAAGATTACATGATCAACCAAACTCGATACCATATTAAAGGATCATCTCATCTAAAAGCTTAAGCTTATAGATGAGGTATCGAAATATAATTTATGTTGATTTTTAACAATTATAAGTTGGAAAACAAAAAACAGCCGGTTCATGTTCTTTTTATTTATTTTTTTATTTTTTAACTCAAGTATTTTTATTTCATATTAAAAATAAGATTAATTATATTTGAAACAAATAATAAAATTTAATTTTTTTTAATAAATATATATTTTTAAATATAAATTCTATATATCAATATAAAATTTATTTGGATATCAATTCATTTACCATTGATATCTGTTTTTCAATGTAACACCGACGCATATGCTTCAAATACATTATCAGTCCGTTACTTGACAGTTGCAATGACAAAAACAAAAACAAAAGACAAGAAGGCAAATTATTTGGAAGATATAAATGCAGAGCCGTGGCGGGGAGGATTTAGCTCCTGCTTGTACGAAATCAGAATTGTCTCGATATGGATAGACTCGAAAGATACTGAATATGCAATCATGTTTTTCTCGAAGACAAGAAAGATGTAATTATGGTATTTTGCAGGCTTCTTCTGGAATTTGGAAGGGCAGTGGAAGCAAAATTATCGACTTTTTTTTAAATGCATTAAACCAGAGTTATATCAGTGAGAGTAACTTTTTCTTTATCTCTTAAAGATTTCTTGACAATTTATTTTGGTTCTAACTTGAACTTTTTATAAAATATAATATATATTTATTTAAAAAGATTGGATATTTGATCATAAGTGACCATCAAGCTAATTTTTTAAGTTGAAAAAGTCCATTGGCATCCAATAATAATATTAGAATTTAAACTCAAATAATTTTTCATGTTACAGCCTATTTTTTGGACTATCTTTTAGAATTAAGAAGTTCACAGACACCCAGCATCTTTAACTTAATTTAAAATGTTTAAAGTTTAACCTTCAAAAAACTATATTTTCCACAATCTCTAGTCTATTTGGAGTAGTTTTGTCATTTCTACTTTCAATAACTTGTGTATTTTTCTATTCTATTTTCTTTTAGAGAAAAGACTAATCAGCTTTATGTGCTATGCTATGGATTGAACAAAATATGTTTATTTCAATTTGATAATCTGTATTATACTTGTTGGTCAACTAAAATGTATAAGATTTTTTTTAAAAAAAACTCATCTAATGTCATAATTTTTAATGAAAATTTTGTATTTATTTTATTTTTCTTTATTTTTGTCATAAATTTTTTAGTTAAAAAATTTAACACTTACTCGTTTAAATTTGATCTCTTCAATTTATCATTTCTTATAAAAATTCTCATCAAATAATTTTTTATTATTTTTATGTAATTTTATTTGTTAATAAATATGATTTATTTTATCTATTTATGTATTTTCAAATAAGTTTTTTAAAATAAATAATCAATTAAAAATTAGAATTCACATGTTTTATTTGATTTTTTATATATATAATCAAAATATATCAAAATTATTTTTGTAATTGTTTTTATTACATTCCACTAATTTCAATATATTTTTTTACAATTTAAGTTTTTTTAAAAATATTTTTATTTTATGTTGCATACCACCAACTAAGTATGATCATGATATATTAAAAAAATTTAAAATCATTGGTTTTATTGAAAATTAACTATGCATCTACACATATAACAAAAATTATTTACTATTTTTTTTAATATTCTAAAATTAATTTCATAATTTTTTTTAATTTTTTTAATTTATTCTTTTTTATGCTTTTTCATAAATTTTGCTAGTAAAAAACAAGATTTTTGCATTCCTTTTAAATAAACAACTATAATAATCTAAATATAAAAATTAAAAAAAAACATCTTAATATTTTTTTCATAAGATTGTATCAAAGAAATAAAAAAATTAATATAAAAACTTGTATAAAGATTATGCTATGAGAAGATTAGCTTTTTGAAACTATATACATTTAATTTATATATATTTAATTAAAAAATAATCAATAATATTAGTATAAAAATTTATATTTGAATTGTTTGATGGTTCTTCTAAAATATTATTTTAAATATTTTATTTAAAATAAATTAATTTTAGAATATTTAAAAAAGTAATAGCAAATGATTAATATTATGTATATAGATGTATAGTTAATTTCTAATAAAACTAATTATCTTAATTTTTTTTTATATGCATACATCGAGGACTATACTTAGTGGATAACGAGTATACGGTGTAAATCAAAAAATAAATAAATAAATTAAATTGTAAGGAATAATTAAAGTTAATAGACTGTAATAAAAACAAATATAAAATTAATTTTGATAAATTTGTATATGTATACATCGGGACTATACTTAGTGGATAGTATGCGGCGTAAATAAAAAATAATTAAAAAATTAAATTATAATGAATATATTAAAGTTGATAGACTGCAATAAAAAAAAATATAAAATCAATTCTAATAAATTTTGATTATATAAAGAATAAGCAAATAAAACATGTGCATTTTATTTTTTAATTAATTATTTATTTAAAAAAATTATTCAAAAAATTTATACATAGAGAAAAATAAATTATATTTATTAATAAATAAAATCACATAAAAAATAAAAAATTAATTTGATAAAAATTTTCATAAAAAATGACAAATTGAAAATATAAAATTTAAACAAAGGAATCCCTGAAATATATAAATTAATTATGCATTTAGTGGCTAAAGCAAGTATAAAGTACGAATTCCTTATCGGTACGGTCCTGGATAGTACCTAGTTGATATTGGTTTCAGGTGCCATTCTATTCGAGGCCTTATCACAACCGATTGCCGGCCATCAAAGTGATAAGCCATTGGAGATTGGAAACTGAGGAGCAATAATGTAAAGGAGCATTATTGAAGTTCCACTTTTCCCTTTAGACCAGCTGAGCAACTTGGAAAGCAACAGCTTGAAGATTTCAGTCCCTTCAAAACCCACCAATTTATCCAACAAAAAAAAATCTACATTAGCTGCCAATGAGTCAGAAAACGATTCCTTCCAGGCATGAACTGGCACAGTTAGTATCTGTTGTAGGTTCCTGTGCCCCCATTTAAAATCAATTACTAGATTTGTTTATTACTGAAAGTGATCTACCGAACCTTACTCTACTCGATAATTCCTAATTTGTATATAATAGGCATCCTGTTGTGTGTAAACGGGCTGTCCTTAAAAATCTCTAGCTGCATTATAGTATCTGTATACGTGTGTATTTGTAAAATTTTTTTTTTTTAATTCACATGCTCAAAACATAGATTTCAAATAGAATTAATTTATTAATATTTAAATTCGTGATTTGTCACGAGAAGCTATTATTATTGGATCACGAACTCTTTAGTTGTGAAATTGCTATTTGCTCATTGAATTCATATAAGATTAATTTGTTTACAGCTAGGTCATTTTTTAAAAAATACTAATAATATGATTTTGTGTTCAAACTCTATATCAAAGCTTTATATATATATATATATATATATATATATATATATTCAGGACAATTTTTAGATATTCAAACAAAAAATAAATTATACTTACATATGAATTAGAAATTCATAATATGAGAATTTTGCTTTTCATGGTTTATGAGGTGAGATGACAAGATGTTGCTGCCTCCGCAATTATGTACGTCCACTCCGAACAAAGAAAATACTCATAATTTACTGTAGAAATGACATGGATTTAACGAAAACATTTTCTTAAAATTGTCTTTATCTAATCGATGCTAACTATGTGGGTATTGGCACCGCACCGTCATAAAAGAAATCACATCAAAAGTATAAATCTTCTAATTTAAAGTCAGAAACTATCAATGACATTTAACGAATAGATCATTTTATCTTTTTCATCATGTTCGTTAATATAAAAGCCCTAAATATTAAGAGTTTTAGTTCTAATCATATCTTCTTACTCTATATTACTATTTTTTATTTTTTATACGCACTTAGAAATATACGCTAAAACCTAATCAGATGTCTCTTTTTTGTAAATACTGATTTAGTTATTGAAGGATCTTTCAACTCACTAGGAAGATTTGTCTTGCAAATAACTTGAGTAGAAAAGGTTCTCTACCGTCAATTATCAACCATAAAAGAACAACGAAGTCACTAATTACTATTGGAACATTTTAGATTTGTAAATAATATACATATATTGTAATGAAAGTTGTTTTGCTAATATATGAGAAAATTGGGAAAGAATTTCTGTATTTCTGATGAAAAGAGAAACACGAACGAAAACAAGAGACCTATAACGTAAATTTTAATGCACAAATAAGGAACAGACCCACCGATCCCATGGTTGTTGAAAAAATTTCAAGTGGAGAATAGTAGTATACGTTTGGGTCTATATTCAAAAGACGTATAATTGATAAGATATGAGAAATTCTATGGTTCCAATGTTTCCACCTCTGCATCTTCAAAAGTAGATGTGTATTATTGTTTTCTAAGCACATGCTTGTTTGTTAGGTTTCCTTATCATAGAGCTCCCCCAGATACAGCCTTCTTCGCTTTATAATGGGATTGTGGTTCAGTGGTTGTTCCACAATCACCAGCCTAGCTCCAAAGTTAGTGCCACTTTTAACCCTAATCTCGGGTTATGGTACTTCCTTTTTTGGCTAAGGAAAAGGTATTCTGTTACTAAAATTCTTAAAAAAAAAAAAAAAAACATATAATTCCTACTTTCCGCAATGACATTATAAAGTCAGTGTGCCCATTGCCCAAATGAGCCGGCTGAAAAAAATAATATTCCATGATAATGATTGATATTCTTAGATTAGATAAAGCTTTCACATGTCGAAATTAATTAATTTTTTTCAATCCGGTTTTAGACATGTCATTCACATCAAGATTAAGAAAGTAACTTATTTTACTTCTGAAATTAAGTCATGATTCAACTACTTTATAAATTACGAAACGCTTTGCTTGACCAGAAGTTTGTAAAACATGTGGTAAAAGTCTGGCACGAAGAACCTATATAGGTACAATTCCCTAGTTCATAATAATAATAATAATAATAATAAACTATTGGGTTTATGATTTTACTCTAAATATACATTCGGGACCCTTCACTTTGGTCTAGCTGCACTATTAAAAAAAAAAAAACACTAAACCAAAATATTAGTTTACTTTTTATTAGCATCGTTTCAAATACTATTTGCCCAGGTTTATATATACTATCCACATAGACTCATATGTATTGTTTCTTTCACTATACAATGATTATTTTTTTTGGGTAATTTCGAACTTTTTAAATATATTTATTATGAGAGATTTCACGACATTACACTTTAGTTCTTTTGTTTTAAATATCGTTTTTTCGATCCGTAAATTTTTTTATTTTATTTTGGTCCCTCTTTTTTTGTTTCATTTTGGTCCTTGTTTTTTTTTAATAAAAAATTTTAAGCAAAAAGATGTTTAGAAAAAAATTTTACAAAATAAGTTTTTAGCTAAGAATCTATTAATTTTGACATTTTTCTTACATCGGTATAATTTTTTTTTTGTCACAAATGTGACTAGAGATAAATAAATAATATTTTTTAATAAAAAATTTATAAAAATATAAAGAATAATTAGTCGGATACAAAATTTTGATTAAAAAATTATAAAATTTAATAAATTTTCAATACAAGAAAATGAGCAATTAGCGACAAATTATGTTTCGTTGCTAATTAGCTACCGAATAACGACTGATCGGCAATGAAATTGACAATGCAATAATTTACGATGGACTTGCGATAGAAATTTAGTGACCGAAAAAATTTCCTCACTAAAGCATGCGATAAAAATCTTTGCTAATTTTAGCGACGTAATTGTGATGAATTAGCGACGGAATTTAGCGACGTAAACTTAGGTTTATCGTTAAGTAGCGACGGAATATAATTGCTCAAATTTTTGAAAAGTTTAAAAAATTGAGCGATCATTTAAAATTCAAATTAACTATGCATTAGCGACGAATTGCGTCCGTTGCTAATCCTAAATCCCTAAAACCTGCTAGCCCCTTTCTTTTTTCATAATTTCCCCCCTTTCCCTTTCCTCCTCCTCTTCTCCTCACCTCGCCACCGCCCTAACCATTGCCTCATGCCACCCCACTCCCTCCCTAGCCCACTCATTCGACGAGGCGTCCTTCTCTTTCCAAAAGCCATGTTGAAACTACTATGACGAGTCTCTCCTATACCTCATCTCCTTTGGTTAGTTCTCTTTCTCTTTTATTTTTTTTAATGGGTTTAAAATTTGTTAATAATATCGGGAGAAAGCTCTTTTCGTGGCTAAATATGAGAAGAGAAAGACTAAATACAACAAGTACATGGTTGCTTACAACAAAAGATTGGTATACTTTATGTTGTTGATAATCTTTTGTTTTGAAAGTTATGCTTTTATGGAGCATAATTGTTGAATTGTAATTTGTTGTGAAAATGATTGGTTTCTATTATTGATTCTAGGTTGGAGGAAACACCGATGATGAATCCGACAATTCCAAATCGAAGTGAATGATGAGAATGAGAAAGACGAAAAGGATGGGGATGTAGGTTTCAAATCAAAAATGGATTCAAACTTTTATTATTTGTTTAGAGGTTTTCCTAGAGTGTTGTGTCAATTATCTTGTTTGGTTGTTGCTATGCGGGAGGAAGACGATGATGAGTAAGCTAACTAGGAGGATCAGCTAAGGATGCAAGGAATGAAGCACTAGGTAATTTGGTTAGATTGTAATTACATGCACTTCTATCTTTTAAATAGTAGTTCATTTTTTAGTAGCCGATTAGAACTAGCTTAGGACAAAAAACAAATAATTAGTTTTCGAGCCGATGCCATGGAGCTCACATAGTGTTATGTACTTATCAAATCTTTTGATGTTCAAAGAAGCAATAGTTTAGTTTTTAAAAATCATTTGGGTTCCCTTCAATTGTGTTGGTTGTTTATTTATTCATAGCATGTGAAAATCAATATAAATAATTAGTCATTCAATCATATGCTCTTATGAGAAACCCATGTTTAATATTGGGTTAATTTGTGATGGAATAGCGACTCATTATTTGGTGGGAAGACAATGGTTCCGACGACCAATTAGTGACATAATATAGAAATTTAACAATAAATATTGTTCGTCCGTTGTTAGGGTTAGTGACAAGCATTTTTAACCCTAGCGACGGATTTTTTTCGATCGCAAATCTATCGTTAAACCCTTTTAGCAACGGACTTGCACTTAAATGACGATTTTCTTGTAGTGTTTTATTTAGTTTTGATTTGATATATTTTAGTAGATACATAATATAACATAAGACATCAAACTGAAATACTTTTATGTATTTTATATGATCCACAATATAGGTTAGGTAAAATAACTAGTATAGCCCTATTGCAAAACTAAAGAATCTCGTTCATTTTGAGTAAATTATGAACCCGTCCTTCTACTTTTAAGAAAGGAATCAATTAGTTCCTTTTATTTTAAAAACTAATAATTTGATTCTTATATTTATAATTTTTCTAGCAACTTAATATTTTTCGTTCTTTCTTAATTTAATTTATTTTTTTAAGAAATAGAAAAAAAAAGATATGGAAGGAATAATGAGAAAAGATAAAAAATTTTAAAAATAAAATAATATTAAATTAAGTGTGACATACCTTTATTAAAAAATAAAATAATTATTTCTTAAAACAAGAGGAATTGATTTGTCTCTAAAAAATAAAGAGACTAAATTATAATTTACTCTGTTCCTTTTTTGCCGTAAGCATGATCAAGTCTTGCAATTGCTAGACTTGATACCGTAACTGCAAATAGGACACATGATTTTCTCGTAGTCATCGCAAAATTTTTTTTAGAAATAGTGCATAGGCTATGTGTTATCTTGAATACCTCGCCTCTCTCTTTAATTTGCCTCTTCTAACCTCTAGGACTTAGCTTGCTAACAGCCACAATGTCAAACGACGATAATAACGACCTTAACTCCAAAGTCGCCGTTCTGCTAATTGGGGTTGGATCAGCGGCTATTGTGGTAACAATTTACCATTTCCTCGCCATGACTATGTGCTGCCGCCGCTACCGGCCTGCTCGTAACCCACAAGAGGCACAACCATATGTGAATGGAACTTCAGGAAACAGCATTGAGTGTTCTAGAGCACAACTCATCCCAGCCTATAATTACCAAAGCGGTATGGGCTTGATCGGTGATGACGGAACTTGTGCGATTTGCTTGAGCGAATTTGAAGAAGGTGAGGAACTACGTACATTGCCTCTGTGCTTACATTCTTACCATGCGGCTTGCATCGATATGTGGCTCTACTCACACTCCAATTGCCCCATGTGTCGGACCGACGCCACGCCTTCTCCACAAGTGTTTTTGAACGCCAGGGTTTTAGGTTCGGAGAGATCACCAGAGGCATACCAAAGTGTATCTGTGCTGCAAGGCATTATTGTACATTCTCGGGCTATATAATCTTGTAACCATGCAAGGTTGTCTTATTTTCTCCAGGAATTTTAGCCTTTTAAGATTGTAGAAAAGTGTCCTGAGAATAAATGATACTCTACATTATTGTACATTCAAGTACACTTAATTGTGCACTGTTGTCTTTAAGTCTTTTCTTTTGAAGAGATATCCAATCCTGCTGGCCTTCATTTTTTGCCTAAAGAACAGTGAAATAGATAAAGGATAATTTTTTCATCAAAGTTGCAATTCTTTTCTTTCATAAATTAAACTAACATAATGGTATGGTATTTTTTTATGTTTCATTTGACTTTCTAAAATTTTGACCCAAAAAAAAAAAAAAAACTACCAATCAAACATCTATCATTCAATCAAATTAAAATTCATAATTTTTTCTCTCATATATATATATATATATATATAGAGAGAGAGAGAGAGAGAGAGAGAGAGAGAGAGAGAGAGAGAGAGAGTAGTGTTATTTCAATTATGAAATGCCACATCATTAGTTATTAGTTTTAGTTTATAAATTTTAATATAATTTAGAGGATCGATATGAAAACTTCAATTATGATTTGGACAAAAATATAGTGCGGTAGTATTGTTAATTTTATTATATTAAACTTTATAATTTACAAAATTAACATGTTTTCTTTATTTTTTATATAAAAAGATGATACCAATTTATGTAAATTTTTTTCTTTTATCAAGAAGTTATGTTACCTTGGCATTAAATTGTTATGATTTCATTAAAACATGCAAAGTTTATAGCTTGAATTTCTGCATTCTCATCAAATATGATTTGAAGGATTAATGTATAAATTTCAATTATAAAAGCATTTTTAATGGTGCTCTCTACTTTTAGCTAACATTTTTAATGTAAATAGAGAGCACCATTAATTATATAGATTGAAGATCAATGTTCTCTCCAATATTACTCTCTACTTTAACTCTTTATTTTGATAAAATCCATAAAACCAAAGAGACTATTGGTGAAAAGGCTGAGTGACATAGGAAATAGTAATTTTTATTAATGAAATATAAGATAAAGAGTCATTTGGACTCTCTAGTATTGGAGAGCCAAAGATATTCGGTATCTCAATTTTAAAGAGAAAGATTGTGATAAAGAGAGCATTAGAGATGTAATTTGAGTCAAACCTCTTTACTATAAAGAAAAATCTTAATATAAAGAGAGCATTGGAAATGCTCTAATTTGGACAAAAATATAGTGTTGTAGTATTGTTAATTTTATCATATTAAACTTTACGTTTTATGTAATTTTTTTTATATAAAAAAAATGTTAAAAAAGACGATATCATGTTATGTTAATTTTTTTTAAAAATCAAAAAGCTATGTTAACTTCTTAGTAGATTGTTATGATTTTAGTAAAATATGCTAGATTTATAGTTTGAGTTTGTGAATTTATAAATTTGAGAAATATGAGATCAAAAAAATAAAATAGAATCCTAATTAAAAAAATATATAATTAAAATGATTGATGAATGTATGTTTAATTAATGTTATTTTTAAAACTTCAGAAAATCAATTGAACATAAAAAATACCACATCGCTAGTTATATTAGTTTACTAAATAAAATAAAATAATTAAAACTTATAGAGTTTCTTACGAATAGCGAAATGATTTTATTTTATTTCTACTTCCATTTCTTACTTTATTTTATACAGTTTAATAAGATATATCACCTCTTGTCAGTTCTGTTTCGATTTTATATAATTTTGATTTTATCAAATTATGAAATTTAACAAAATAGAAAACGAGGACAATATCTAAAATATGGGGGCGGACAAGAACTCACCATTCGAATTAATAATGAAAAAAATATCATTAACGAATTAAACATACGTGCATGTGGATAATGTATGCTTTATGTATATCACTACAAGTTCAATTATTTAGTTTGTTTGTATGTTCCTATGCTTGAAAGAAACAAACATTAAAAGTCCAGCCCTAATGATGCTTGGAAGCTAAAAAGTCTATTTACATAATAATTTTCTACGGAAAGATAAAATGAACCTTGACTAGGAATTTGAGTTATGATTAAATTGGTCATTTTGATGAAAATAACCCTGCGATTAGAGAGTTTTTTGTGTGAAAAATAGCAACATCAAAATTTTGTCGTAATCGTTCGTCACGGGAATGTCATCTTGCTATCAAGTTGCGAAAAAAATTTGGGAGTGCCCTGCGTTGCCGATGTTCTAGTCATGTAGTTCCCTGTTGACCAACTTGTACTCATACACGACAAGATGGTGTTTCTTGTATGCATCTCGTAATTTTCATAGAAATTATAATATTATCACAAGCCGCATAGACGATGTATATACATATCTCTTGGGCACACCGTCATTGTCTTTAGTTAATTTGCCTCCTCTAGGCACAGGCCAGTTTAGTTATTCCCCAATATCCATCATGTCGGATGGAGGTGGTGATGATATCACCTCTAAAATTGCCGTTCTTCTTATCGGGGTTGGATCGGCGGTTCTTATCATCACACTCTACCATTGCATTGCCACGCGCCGGTTCCGGGCTAGGACTAATCAGCAACGGCCACAACAATATAGGATCGAAACCATAGCAACACAAAGCAGTGTTGAGAATTCGACGGCCCAGCTCATCCCGGCCTACAAGTACGAAAAGGGTATGGGCTTGGTGGGTGATGATGGAACTTGTGCAATTTGCTTGAGTGAATTTGAAGAAGATGAAGAACTGCGTACATTGCCGGTGTGTTCGCACTCTTACCACGTGGAATGCATCGATATGTGGCTCCATTCGCACACCAATTGTCCCATGTGTCGTACCGATACCACACCTTCTCCACGGGTCTATTTGAGAGGAAGGGATTTGGATTCTGAGAGGGCCTCTGTGGAGTATCAAAATATCGGTAGGCTACAGGATATTATTGTTCATTCACGGGTACTCTAATAGTATCAGGTTGTTTTTCTCGTCTCTATCCTGAAACTGTAGCCTTGAGAGAGTAGTATAATATTGCACCATGCGTGTTGTTTGAAGGATGTTGAGTGATATAAACTGATAATGTTGTACATTCGTGGGCTAATGAATATTATTTTCAGCCTTGAAGAGCAAAAAAGTGCGTAATTACTTGGCAGGGTTCAAGAGGCCGTAAAGCCCCTTACACAAACCCATATCGCAAAATGTTGGACGAATAAATATTTTATGGAAAGATCGCTAGAGGAAGGGCTTGAACCTTCGACCTTGTGGTTAACAGCCACACGCTCTAACCAACTGAGCTACTCCAGCTGTTTATTTAAGCGTTCAAACCGAATTTATAATTTTGTTTTTAATCATAAAAAAAAATCTTCAAAAGTTTTGGGGTTCCATTGTCTCTTTAAATTAATGTGACAGTCCACAAAAAAAAAACCGGTTGGCACGATGTGAATTAAGAAATGATGGTTGATTACTCGATTGGTTTAGTTTTTGTGTGCTTCCTGACAGAATTTTGACAAGCTATGTATATAATTAAACTAACCCTCTGCATTGTTTTTTAAAAATATCTTGAATGTAACTCATGAATCTGATATTTTTAAATGAATAAATTATAAAAAGCAGAATAAGTTTTTGGATTTAAAATTTTCTTGAGGATAAAAAAGGATTTGAATTCAATTATATTCCACTTATGCATATCATTAAAATCGTTCTGATTGGTCCATGTGTGAAAAAAAAAAGCTAACACATAAAATATTTTTTGATTGGTGCACATAACTAATTGAATTAGGAAAAAATAAATAGAATTGGAAAAACAGAAGGAAGAGAAGCAGAAATTGATTTGAAAATTGTATCAAGTCAACTGGTACATTATTTTTATTGTATTACGGAAGAAAGGCTGCCGATTTTTTCTCTAGGAATTTAACATGCCGATATAGTATTGTAGTACAAAAGAAAGAAGTATAATATTAATTTTTTCTAGGACTGATTTTGGGTAGTTATGGAAAATTATGTTATTCTTCCAATGAAATTGACCTTGGATCAAACAAGGAGATTTCATGGATTGGCAGAGCTTTCATCAAAAGTTATTTTTCTTGTAGTTTTGTTAATATTTTTATAATCCAATTAGGAAAAAATTTTATTTTATTTTATTTTCTTGACTATAATCTACCCATTTCGAGGTGGTTGGTCTCCTAATAAACAATTTGATTTTGATTTTTTTTTGTTTGTTGTAATATTTTTTAGCGTAACTTTATTATTTCAGTTTTTTAATTTAGACCTTTTGCTAGAAGTTTGAATATATTTTCAGTTTTAATCTTCCAAGACAAATTTAGATAGGTTCGAACTACAACAAATGTGTCCATCGTTGTAATTCCAAAATTCAGATTCATTCTATTTTAGCATTATTTGTTGAAACAATACCAAATCATGCCTTAACTTTTTTAAAAGGCATTAGATACATTAATCAATAACAAAACCTAATACTACATTACAAATGTATTGTTCGTCATCCTCTTATTAGTTACCTATGCTCATTTCATTTTTTACTTGATATCCATCTATATCCGTATGTAGTATTCACTTGATATTATTTGTATTCAATAACATTATTATGATTTTTGGTCCTTATTTAGAAATTTGATATATATATTGGTTTCAGTTGAGGCATTTGATATACAAGTTTTGACAAATATTACCACTTAGTCCCTAATTTTTTATGTTGAGAAAAAAAAACCAACAAAAAAAAATTAAAGGTTGGACAACAAAATTTGGTTTTCTTTATTTTGATTCTCAATTTTATTTATATTACGATTTGATTTCTAAATATAGATGAAAACAAAGAGAGAAAAATCTACGACGGGACTCATTTATGTTTTTTTTATCATCTTAGATAGAAAAGTTTGCTTATGGTGATTTGAAAATATAAAATAGTTAGAGAAAAAGAGATCAAAACTCCAAATATTTTAAATTTTTAAATTTGATTTGAATTTTTGAGTTTTTTAAGTATATTAAAACGAGTTTCAAGGATCCTAACAAGTTCTTGAGCTAATTCCAGTAATTTTAACATGATTTGAGGAAAAAAAAAATAGTGATAAAATTAGTTTGAAAGACCATAATGTGGTGTCCAGATTTTCCGACGAGGTTTTTGATGATCATGGCTTCTTTGAAAGTTGTAGTTGGCCAACATGCTGTCTTTTACGTATTGCATAGTCGATGCATCGTCTGCATTTCATTTTTTTTCTTTTTTTCAAAGAGCTGGCCCATGCATGTTTAGCCCGTGCACGTAGGGGTCTGGTTCTCCAAGCCCAAGGTCGTGGGCCTAGCACACACATGCCTAATTTTTTTGATCTTTTTTTTATTATTTAATTTTGTGCTTAAATTTTGGAAACTAGCCAGAAAGAAAAATCAATGATGTATTTTATTAATATATGTAAAAGCTTTCAACTCAAAATACCATAAAATTAATTTTTCAAAATTGATCAAATTAATAATTTATCTGGTCTCTACTTTTCTTACTAAGAGCTCATCACTTATGTCGCTATACGACGTCGGACGTGACTCCAAAAAAATTAAATCTGATAGTTAATTGGTGTTTACAAGTTTATTTACAAAATCGGGAGTCGCCACCTAGTATTGAAGAAACTAGGAACCTAAAAATAGGCATTGGTTTAGAGATTCCTAAGATAAAGAGTTAGTTACACTTTTAAGAAGATATTTAATCGTCTAAAAGTGCGCTTTTCAAAAAGGTACCATGTATGGGTTAGTTCTAAAATCATCGCCTAAAAATCTATGTCAAATTATTTTCTAATTTTTAAACTCTTATTTTTTTTAAGACAAATTGAATTTTTTAGTTTTGGACTTGACATCATATTGAAACGATCATCGGTCTCCTTCGTCGGGTGACACGTCGATTCAAACATCGGATCCACTAAAAACCTTGACACAACCGAGCGTGTTGGAGGATGTTTTAATTAAAAGGTGATTTCTTGTGACGTCGGTCCCTATCAAATAGGAGACTTCGTAAAAAATCCTTGACATTCGTTTTTGTGACGTCGATCCCTATCGGATAAGAGACTTCATCAAAATTATTTATTTATTTATTATTATTATTTGCTCGAAGACAGTTCCTATCATATAGGAGACCTCATTGAGAACTTTCATTGTTTATTTTTTTGTTGATAAAAAATTTACCATCGGTTCCTAAAAAATTTAGGAGACTCGATAATTCTTTTATCGAATAATTATCTAACCTAATAACCAACATAAATTTAAATCTTTCAAGGTTAAAAAAAAGAAAAGAAAAGAAGTAACATGCAAAAATTGAATCTAGACAATAATAATAATAATAATAAATAAAAAGTAAAAAAAAAAATTAAATATATACATATTTTCGGAGGAAATGGTGGGGAGACTGGACTAGACCCAGTCCAACCTCTTTCTTCCTTATTCTGGATCGCGATAGTCCAGCCTTTAATTCAGTGTAAGTTAGGTTTGGCCCAACTCACGTTTTCTTTTTATTTAAAAAAAATCCGAATCGACCCAAGCCCAAAAACAAAATCCCTTACCTTGTCTTATCTTTTTTTGATCAAACGGGAATCTTCAAACCCGTCGCCCTCTCTCTCTCCTGTTCTTCAGGTCTTTATTTTCTCTGTTGAAGAATGGGATGAACGAAACCCAAAAACCCAAACTTCCAAGAATATATAGCAGCTTTCATCCTAATAGTAAGTATAACAAAAGTAATTTCTATGATCTTTCGTGTTTCCAAACAAAACACATAAAATCTTTGGATTACATATGAAAAACTATAGAGTCTATTTTAATCATCATTAACCTCACCTCTTTGTCATTATTATTTCACCTCATTGATTCAAATTTTAGGACTAACATTTAGGGAAGGAGAATATATATATATATTAACTTTTTCTGAACACGTTAGGTCGATGTAGAGAATGAGTTTTTAAAATCATTCAAACACGGGTTTAATTTCAATTAATGTGTAAACTGATCGAAAAATATCTATATAGTAAAAAAAAAAAAACCAAAAAAATATTAATTAGGAATGTAATTCTATCAAATCCGTATTGATGTTTCAGCTACACATATACGAGGAGAAATTCTATCTACCATCAGTTTGTTATTCACATATATACATGCATGTGGACCAATCAAAGAATTTGTTGATTATTTCTTTTCTTCATATGAGTAGTCACGAATTCTTTTTAAATTTCCTGAAGGAAAACGATTGATTTTTATAATTTTAGAATCCAGAAAATTTAAAATTTGGGTAATTAAAATACTATAACTTCTCTCATGTGTTATGAAACTTCATGGGCCGCTCGAAAGTTTGAAAATGTGACAGAAATTTCATTGTGCCCAAGAAAAATGACAAAAATAGAATTTTACATGTAAAATGTATTTAATATTTTTAAAATATTTTCTTTATCATTAAGAAAGTTCTAAATATTGCTGCAAAGTAGCATTAGAAAAACTAACGTAGAGAGCAAAATAATATTACTGTATTCTTTAAAATGAAGATTAAAAGGAACAATTGTTTCTTTTACCACATTAATATAATAGTAAAAAAGTTCATGGAGAATTTAACTTATTTTTTTTACTCATATTAGGTAATCTTTTGGATTGGTTATAAAAAGGATTTTTTATTGTAATTAGTGATTAAATTAAAACTTAGTGAAAAGTAACATTAAGAGGTTGAATTTGTTAAACAATATTTCATTATTTAGACGTACAAAATAATTTATTTATTTTTTCTAAAAAGTATTTGTAATATAACCATATATTTAAATAGGAAAAGAAATCAGGGTGAATAATTGACTCTTTTTCTTATAAAAAAATTTACAATATAAGATAGTTAGATACATCAAGGCTTGCAAATTAAAGAATTTGGTTAAATGATAAAGTCCAATCGAGCTTTAGAATAATGTCAAGAAATTAAAAATCCTACCATTTTCAATAAGTTCAATTTTCTCTTATATATAGTTTTTTTTTCAACTTAAATATTTTTTAAAAATCAAATTAATTATTACATGGAAAAACAATACTATAAAATCCCTTAGAAGAACTATATATATTTGGATAGAAAATAAACGATATATATATATATATATATATATATATATATATATATATATATATATATATATATATAAAAAATTAATAATACTAATTTTTAATTAATTATTAATTTATCCATAAAATTTTGGATTGTATTATTAAATTTGTTGTTAAATTATTGATTATATTTATTACAAAATTAAAATCCGAATCACATAGAAAAAGATGACAATTGAAATCCTTTCATTAAATCAAATTTTAGAACTATATGGTATCAAAATATCAAATTAGACTATAGATTTTTGTATGAAAATTGAGGTTTAATAGGGATAGGATTTTTATGTAATTATTTTTAGAAATATATTGGACATCATTATCTTTTTCAACTTATATGTAATACTGCTGAGAAAATGAGGAAAAAAAACTAAAAAATTAAAATGGTTGTTGAAGAAGTCAGAGAGGATGAAAAATAAATGACAGAGAAATCAGTAATGTTTAATGACATTGCAATATATGAATGCTTAAATGACTTTGATTTAAAACTATAAAATTATTTATTAGTGTTAAATAATTTTTTTATATATATAACTACTTCACTCATTCAAGTAAGAGAAAACAAGGCAAATCACGTGTGGAGCACGTGACATCACTGCTAGTTCCACTAATTAATAGCCAATATTTTTCTTTTCTTTTTTTAATTTTTATTTAAGGTGGTATATATCCGGAAAATTGCACCCGAAAATTTAAAAGAATCTCTTAAATTCTTAATTAACTACAGTAAGCTAGCATTAAGTAAAGGTGAATGGTTAGCACAATGCAACAAATTAAAAAGATGATCACAATAGTTGGAGAGAACATTAGTTAATCTCATTCGTACTCTATGATTAATGAATGGTCAAGGATGAATCTATGCAATTAATTATTTAAATTATTTAGATTATAAAACAAGAAGATCTTTTTCTAACCATTTTTGTTCCTAAAAAATGAGTATCTTTCAATAGTTTTTCCCAATATTCTCCATCTATTTTCACATTGACATAATTATAAAATAGAAAGAATAATTATTAATTATTACGTTTCAATTAATAAATATATAGTCGAGTCAGTAAAAGCATTGTTTTGATCCAAAAGTTAAGAGTCGATGACTATAATACGAGTTTAGTGTGGAGATCTTGATTCATCTATAATCTATATAGAATTGCTGCTATCTTAATTACCATGCCCCAGGTTTAGGTTAAATCACCTTCCATTCAACCAAAAAGCTGTTGAACAAACAATAATCGAACTAGTTTAGAGGCATAATGTTTTTATGCCCCAGGTGAATTTTTTTATTAATCCGCAGGATTTGAATTCAAAAAAGAACGGCAATGCAATGTACCATTGGATCGGCGGTTTTTGAACTAGTTTCGGTGATTTTTTTTATTAATCCGCAGGATTTGAATTCAAAAAATTAAATATTATAATTTTCATTTCGAATATAATTAATCTTATTTTTAATGCAAGGTACGAATACCTTAGGAAAAAAAAACCTTCAATTCACCGTAGCTGAGCAAATTAATCATTTGATATGATATAAGCAATGCAATTAACGCCATGGAAATAACAGAATAACTTTTAATCCATCGGTAAAACATTCGGCTACTTTAGAGGCATGATTTGTCGTATAACGATACGACATTATGCATTTGGCCACGCATGTTTGAAAAATTGCGCTGTGATTGGCCTCTGGAGATGAACGTCACAATTCACATAAAAGAGACAAACAGATGAAGTTTAAAGCCATTTCCAATCTTAATCACCAACCAAATTACATGCATTATTTGGTCCTAAAATTTCATAATTAAACATCTTAATGACCATGGAAGACAATAACACTCATCTTTTCGGTCTCTCTCCAATAACAATTGCCGTTATCGGCATCGTATTAGCTTCTGCCGGGCTATTAATCTACCATTTCATCGTGGTCCTATTGCACAGCAGGTCAAGGGATCAGCTAGCTCGAGATCAAACATTGCCCCAAGATTCCATCGCCAGTTTTCAAGACCTGCCAAGCAGCTTCGAAAATTCGATTGCATCGCTTATCCCTGCGTGTAAATACACTAATGACATTGGTACGGTGTCGAAATCTGAAGATGTAACATGTGCAGTATGCTTAAGTGAGTTCAAGGATGGTGAGGAAGTTAAGGTTTTGCCTGAATGTTTGCACACATTTCATGTTTCTTGTATCGATATGTGGCTATCCTCTCACTCGAATTGCCCGATTTGCCGGACCGACATGGGTGTCTCAACGCCAGCCCACCAACAGTCAGAATCCGACACCTTTGGGATACCGGATTCTGGTGAACCACAGCGAGCAATTTGACTTAGTAAGCAACCATTATCATTAATGTCCAATTTAGGGCATATCGTATTGGTATTTGGCAGAAATTTTTTTTTTTTTTTTTTTTTTTTTTTGCCTTTGGCACGTCACTTTCAAGCCTGGACTAAATTATACGGCCGTTTGTTTTGTACTACTATTGTTTTCAAGAGTTTTGTACTGCTATCATTTGTTAATTTGAGTTGCATATATGCTGTGCCTGTCAGTGCAAAATACTTCCCAAGTTCCAATAAATGAATCAGAATTTAAATGGATTCAAGGCATGAGATATCTTACTGGGTCATTTGACACCCTGGGCATAGGCCTACAGATTTTTGAACTTCCAAGCCCACAAATCCATTGTTTGAAGCAAATCATAGGCTAAGACAAGGAAGCCCACTATGAAGGGACGAAAAAAATCATGAGAGTCGTTTGACAATAAATAGACTTGAAATGAAAGCATAGGAAATGGTTTCTATTTTCTAATCAATTCAAGCTAAGTCTTTTTGGGAGATTAATGGTCTGTATGATCGCGTGTGAGACAAGAATTCTTGTTAGTCCATCCACTATCCATGTCACATACGTCAACAAACAAAATGATCAAGAATTTGGAATACTTCTCAACTAATTTGGGCTTTAGTTACAATTGGTCCAGTAGGTATCCCACCCTTTCCCAGATAGATTTCACAAATCACATGCGGTTAAAGTTATAATCTCTTTCAAAACTTTTGATCGGAATGATGTCTTGAAACACACTTACTAGAAAGTGTGATGGTGCAGGATACCCCAATTCTATAACATAATGATGGTGATCACAGCTTCAATAGTGAGCCATCAATCAAGCTTCAGGCGATGGGAGGTCTTTTTATTAGTTGTTGGGCCAGTACAATCACAGGACCTCTTTAACGAAAGCTCGCATCTTGAAGCAATTCACTCATGTGGGACAAGATGGTGAAACTTTCTTTTGTTGGTTAAAAATATTTTCTGCAATGCCTCCAAAACATATTAAGCTCTTATTATGAGTTTCATACATGTTGTTTGCCCTTCTGATATTGGAAATTAAGAAAAATTCAGAGAGTAGAAACAAAGTTGCCTGAATTTCGCTAAAGTTTTGGCTCAAGATTTTGTCCTAATTGCCAGGGACAATAAATTATTCAACAAAAAACGGCATTTCTGTAAATAAAAGAACAAATGAAATGCCCATCAATGACACATCACTTTCCCTTTATTTGTGATCCCATGTGAGCATCCCTCGAAGAATGTGACCTGTCAAGCCATAAACTAGTGAGTAATATTGCCGACTCCTTTTCTGCCTTGTCCATTGATGTGTTTTTATTAGCTAGATTCTGTAGTTTTTGGTGGATTGTTACAACTAACAGTGATATGTTTAAGGTTAAAATCAAATGTTGTTTACTAATGTACAACTATTTCAGTGAGCTTATGGGCTTAGTTAAATATGTAATTATCCACAAGTACGTGGTTTAGTTCATTGGTTTGTCCTAAAAGAAGCCTTTATAATCATGCTTCATGATTTGTGAATGTGATTTTCAGAGAAAGAGGGCATTTTGGTTTGGTTTTAGCAGGTGGATTTCTTTTTTTCTTTTTTTCTTTTTGGGATTTGTTATGGGCAGATAAAGTGGGTGTACATGTTAAAGCACTTGCTAAAGAGGAGTCGTGAGTTTGATGTACTGTCGTTGGCCTTGGCTTGTGTTCGGTGCAGATTGGGAGTGCTCAGTGTCTCTAAGTAAGCTTTTGCTTGTCTTGGGTTTCTCCTCTTTCATTAGTACTACTAGTGGTTCTCAAGTTATTTATGGTAACTTATGTTGGTTCTTAGCTCTTTACTGCATATTAATTGGATATTTTAAGCAGTGTTCATGTGATTTGGACAAAAGATGAAATCTTTGAGTAGTGTAGGACTTGGTTTGAGTATAGTTTTTGCTTGCCTTTTATTGGCTCTTGTTGCTGAGCTTTACTATTTGCTATGGTGGAAGAGAAGGTTTGCTAATAAAGAGATTGGAGATGATTACAGCAGCCCAGCAAGAGAGCTTTTTTTATGTTCTGTTTAAGAAAACCATCTTCTTTAAGGAATAGTCAAGAGCTGTGTTCTTCAGTAAGAATCACAGATACACTTGTGCATCATGAGCAAGAATCTCAGCTCAACATTAATACAAGCAAAGATTTATTGCTCAGGCCCTTCAGTGATGATAATGTGGAGACAGAGCTCATTAGGCTGCATAGTCTCTCAGGTCCACCGAGATTTCTCTTTACAATTGTTGAAGAAACAAAGGAGGATTTAGAGTCTGAAGATGGCAGGTCTAAAGGTGATAACAAGAGTGCAATTGCATCAGGAAGTAGAAGCTTGAGTGATTTGCTTCTTACTGTAGAGACTCCATATCTAACCCCTCTTGCTTCTCCGCCTTTTTTCACACCTCCTCTTACTCCTAGCTATAACCAGATTGGATTCAATCATTTATTTGAATCATCGAAAGATGCAGAGTTCAACAAGATAAGGTCATCACCACCTCCAAAATTCAAGTTCTTACAGGATGCGGAGGAGAAACTATATAGAAAGAAATTGATGCAAGAAGCTGAGGAGAAGGTCCCAAGGAATGATGTTTTTTCTCAAGATTACACTAACAGATCTGCTAGTTCCGATTTTCTAAAAGATGAGGATGATGGGCCTTTTATCACCATCATTGTTGATAGGAACAAAGAAAGAGAGCTTAATGAACAAAATCACCAGCTAGCACACCACCATTCAAGCACTTCACAGGTACTTCCTCTTGCTGCTTCACCTTCAACATCAAAACCAGCAGCTAAGAAAAGTTCCTTCTTTCAGTAGAGCTCCGTTATCAAGTTGAATTAAGTAGGGTTTTTTTTTTTTTTTTTTTTTTTTTTTCCCCTCATGTATTTCTCTTATCAATATTAATCTTCTTTTTAGGACTTACTTTCCTTTTTTCATCTTGTTTGGAGAGGGTGTTAGGTTAATCTTGTTAAACCCTTTCGCAATTTATGCCAAAAATTTCAAGGTGGGGGGAAGACAAATTCTCTGCGGTGTAACGTTGAAAGTTGGACAAGTGCGAGTGGGGGTCTCGTGGGGCAATTTGTTGTGTTCAATCTTCATGTCTCCCTAAGCTGTCTGATACATGTAATCATTCCGGAGAGTGATGGTACTACTGATGTTTTTTGTCCAAAAGGCACTGCAAAAAAGAATTCTTTCAAGACCAAGAGCTTCTTTCTTTTTTTCTTTTTTTCCCATGCTTTGTTTCCTCTCTCCGTGCTCATGGCAATGTATGCTTTGCTTTTTGTCCTAATCTTGTATTCTTTTGTTGCATGGTTATTGTGTTATATACCCCCACTAACATCTTAAAAATAATTTAGACCGTCAGATTAGCATCTGACAATCAAAACAAATGAGGTTTTTGATTGGTCAGGGAGTCTAATATAGATGTCTACATAAGGAAGAGGGTCACCACTCAACAAAGCGACAAATGGAGGGAAAAAAAGAGAGGGGGGGGGGGGGGGGGAGGTAGTGGGTGACTTGTGATTGTGAGATGCTTCCGGGACTTTTTCGTAAGCAACAAAGAGGTAGTTTGCCCGTGAAAACTTCTCGTGGGACTAGGCCGAAAGGTAGTTATCTTGGCTTGCAGAATCATTGTAGGCATTGCCTTTTTCTACTAAATGCTATAAGAGATGCGTAGCTGAATCAGGTTTCAGATACGTATACGTAACATACATAAAGATTTTTTGGGTTACGCTACTATAGCAGGAGAGGAGGAACTTGAAGCCGCGACTTCTTGGTAAGAAGAGGATATGGCTGTCAGTTACAAGCTCAGTGGCAACATAAAAAGGCACTGCACCTAGGCTAATGAATCAAGCTTTGTTTAGCATAATTGGTACGAGCTTAACCTACGTAAGCTGTGAGATATTACCCCAACCTGACCCCCCACACCCCATAGGATAAGAGCCCGTTTGGAAAACTAAATAAGCTCAACGTTACAGTACCAATTAGTTTTCGGTATTGTCCAATATCACAAGACAACATATGAAATCCAACCGGTATTTTTGCTTTCTTATAAGCCAAAAACCAAACCGCATCAACGGCTCAAATGTCTTACTATTGCCATCACCAGACAGTGTCTTGCGAGTTGTATTCCCTGCTACATAGTTTTCTTGGTGGAAGTTTACCTTTCACCGATGGTGAAAATCTAAAAGAAACTGCGATACAATCCTTCAATGAAGCAATCCCGGGGAAACCAGCATCACATACGCTTTTTGTAAGGTAGCGCCTTGCAGAAACAATGTGCACTCGGAAAGTCATTCATTCAACACAATTCACCTCAACATGTAATTCGATTTAACAAGCATATGTTTTGCACCAAACCAACCACGGGAAAGCGGTAATAAAATCCTGTCATTACCAATTAAGAGTTACAAGCACTGTCACATGCAACCGGCCTTTGCAAAAAGACAAACATGGTAATGGGGGCAAATTTCTGACATGCCAAGAGGCCGCTCTTATTATAGTAAGTTACAACAATTCTAGAATATGCTTAAGCTTACATACTTGAAAAAAAAATGTTAAAAATACATGACAAACAGATGACCGGATGCCTCTAATTGATAGACTAATGGCAACATACATTGAATGAAGAAAAAACACCTCTTTTTACTTGAATAAATGAGAACTATTTATTGCCATGTAACACCAATCTGAAATAGGCGAACAAATTCAGATATCGTTGCAGACACACAAGGAAAACGCAAAAATGATGTCAGATTCCTAGGGCAGCAAAACATGTCATTCCAAGCTCAACAGAGAGTGCATTGAGGCCAGGTTCTTCCAAAAGGCTGAATGCTGTGTATCCGTAGTAGCAATGGTATAGATCTGGTAGCTCATCTGGGAATTTACTGAAGCCACCATACTGGTCCCGGAACAATATAAGCAAAAGAACATTAGAATCCAATAGTAATATCATCGCCTGACAGAGATATCATTCCAATGGCACATGACGATTCACATATATGCTACTTTTGACATCTTTATTTGTTGCATAGTACTTTTTACCTCTATTTTTTCTTTGATTTTTTGTCAGAAATACATACTTCCTTTACCCTGGGAATTTTCACTGAGTAACAGACCTCCATTCAGACCAGCTCCCAACACCAGTCATGCAGTTTCCATTTTTCGGTGTATCAGGGGAAGACCCACAATTAATTATATGCAGAGGACATAAATAACAGCCCATGGGAGAGATCTTTAATAAACTGTATCATATATCAACCACAACCAAGATGACCAATTGCAAGGACAAGCATTAGTACCTGGTATTGACAAGAGAGCAAAAATCTACGCAAAGCTTTCCCATCAATCAACTTGGATCCTCCCAAGATCCTCAAAACTGCCCCAACCCTGTACAAGCATGTTGCCCTTGTCAAAGCACAGAAAAAAAAAGCCTCTCATGACGTGGAACTTCAGGAAGGTGTTCTAAAACTTACCAAAATGCATAACATGTGTCACTAGGCTTGTTAGCCCTCCCTTGGAATCCACCGTCAGCTGCTTGCCTCTGAAGCATAGGAAAAAGTGTCAGAAGTTACTAATACAGAAGATGGAAGACCCTAAAGAAACAAAGGTTACATAGAAAATTGAAATATCAGAGGGATCAAATGGGAATTATGATTTCACAAGCATTTTATGATTTGCAAGTTTCTCTAGGTCCTTGATAACAATTATGTCAGTCCATCATTTACTTGTTTAAATTCTAAAAGCTACACCTTCAAGATCTAGTGTTAAAGCTTTGAAATGATTCCAGATATCAGATGAAGAAAGTAAACCTGTAAGCACCATTCCAGCAACAATGGAATATCAATTATGGAAGATGCTGCACTTTTTGACAGGACATCATCTTCAATAAATCCCATCAGACGAAGAGAAGCAACTGCACAGTACGTTCCACCACCTGTCCACTAAGATGAATATCAGTGGTAAATAGCATTGAAAGAAATAAGTTCACATGGTCATATAAATTGAAGCTTGTTTATACAGATTTTTCATTAATAATGTACAGAAAAGATGACAATAAAACAATAAGATCATTGCTAAATGGCACTGGAAAATGCAAAAGCAGATGTTGGACCAAAAAATAGAGGTGAAGGGCAAAGAGAAGAAAAACACCATCAGTTAAAACAAAGTTTTGTGTATACAACTGAAACTAACAGTAAGAGTAAAGTAGCAAAACATCAATTATGCCTTTAGATTTACAATTTTTCAAAGAATCTACCCCAATTATATACAGAATGTTCTGAAACTCACCATGAGATTCTGCACCAGGAATCATCCCAAAGCCACCATCATATGACTGAAAAGAGCAGCATTAATTGTAAGCAGACATGAAATATCTCACAGGAATTATCAATTGATTGAAAAATGATTGCAGAAAGATGGATAATGGATGAGAAGTTCACTAAGAACAAATGTACCTGGCATTTTAAGACGTATTCCTTGGTTTTCTCCCTATCCATGCCACTCCAGTCCTCCAACATAAAACAGATGGCCGCTGATACATCAATTAGCTATAGGTATATTATATAACTTTAAGCAGCTTCATGAACATCCCAAAGTTTTCGTTCTTACCAGCACAATATACAAATCTCAGATCTGTCTCTGCCCCAATATGGATAGGCAGAAAACTGCAAAATAATAAAAGAGATAAAAAGACATCACTTCAGCTCAATGCCAAAAAAGAATACATTTTTTCTGGAGATTTCTGGAAAGTAAAGTTACATATGTACAGATGGGGTGAAAAAAGAAAGGGAAGGGTGGAGCTAAGCCGGAAGGTTAATCAATTTCTTGTTTGCATTAACAAAGTGAAGAGGTGGATCAAAAGCATAATTCTCAAACAAAGGTTCGCATAATATAGGCGCTATCTACCAGGATAAAAAAGAATATAACTTAAAAGCAATATCATTCCAGAAAATATAGCTAGTTTGCTTTTCAGAAAGTTGGAGATTCAAGTTAAAGAACCCTATTACCTCCCATCAGGTTGCTGAAGGTTCCTTATTGACATGGATATCAATTTGGAGTCGATATTTGACAAATTATAGCCAACAGTTTTCAATATGGATAGGGCGCAGTAAGTGCTTGCCAAATGGCTGTGATTGTGAATCAAAATCTACAAGCAAATCAAACATCGTAAGTTATATCCCGGAACAAAAGTATACAGACACACTGATGCCATAAGTTTTCCTGCAGAAACATAATGAACTGCTCAATGCAAGCATCATTTAAAAAAAAAAAAAAAAAAAAAAAACACCTATAGGACAGTTCAACTCTATCATATTCATTTCATACCCCATTATTGTGCGAAGGAAATTGAGAAGATAGGGAACCATGGAACCCATAGAATTGTCCTGCAACAATCCAATAGCTCATTATAATTAAGCATTACGGTGATCATCGTAATCAAATCAAATAAAATTCAACAAACTTCCTTAGCAATCAAGTTTATACCATTGTTCAATTCAGCTTCATCTCCGGGATTAGCTTGCAAAGATAAAACCCAAGCAGCCACCGCATCCTTGTCAACCTATAACACAAAAAACACGAACCCATTTCTTTAATCAATGTGAAACATCAAGCCATCCATCAGTTTTATCAAAATTCTAAATCTAAATGACTGACATTAAAAAAAGTTCATGCTTGCAATAAAATACATCCGAGAACAATCCAAATTATCTTCCAAATTGTAAATGTAATACATGTTTTAAAAATTAACTGGGCTAAATCATGAAAGCTTACGCGATCAAGGGAACGGAGGATGTCGAGGCCAGAGATAACGAAGTAGACGAGAGTGAGATGGTTGATCTCCTGTGTTTGGTATTGGTAAGGTAAAATATGGTACATCATCTCCAAGAAGGCCACGTGGCGGTCCCGGTCGAATGTTAACGAGGAAGATGAAGGTGATTCTTCATCTGATGAAGATGGGTCCCAATTCGGTGGTGGAGTTGGTGCTGCTGTCGATGTAGTCATGGAGGTTTGTGAATCTTCACTCATAACGGACTAGCTCTGGTTTTGCAGTTTATTGATCCCGAAACCATCGATTAGTAAGCACCAGTACTAACACTTTCAGATGCTGTCTTCTGTCTGCTGTCTCGACTCGCTTTTTTTCCCCCAACGATCTGCTTGGGCTGTTATGGGCTTTATTATAAGTCCAACGCAGCCCAGACAGCTATACAGGGTAAGTTGGAAATTTTGCTTATAAGGAAATAAATTGACTACAAAAGGCCCATGAAATTACGAAAATATCAATAACATATGCTATCGAATATTTATAATGTATGCCAACCTATCCAACAATATTAGTGGATATGAACAGGTCCTAAATCCGAAAATTGGAAGAAATTCCAATTTCTTTTTGGAATTGAAGAGGTCACAAGGCATTTGCCTTTAATTTTTATCTAAGATGACATAGCCATCCTTACTCTTACCGTATGATATCACATTATTATCTTCTAACAGGATGCATTTGATTTCATATTTTTTATTAACTAAATTCGAAGACGGAAAGAAATATTAGGGATGGAAATAGGGAAGAAAAAACGGTTTTCTCATTTTTCACATCATATATATATATTGATTAATTAAAACTTCATATTCCTTGAACCCTGCATAAATCCTCACTTTTGCATTTGCCTTCCCCTCTCTCCCCATCCCCACGCACGGGTCAAGCTTTTGAAGGAGTAATATCGTCGAGCAATTGGCGTTCAAGAAGTGAAGAAGCGAAGGAATCATGAAAGGCAGCAAAGCTACTGTCGTCACACTTGCTGAGAAATGCAAGGTTTCTCTCCCTCCTCTCTTTCTCTCCGATTTCAGAGCTTGCCACTGTTAATTGTTAAATTAAAATCTAGTTACTCTATTGCAGAATATAATTGCTTCCAATTGGCAAGCTCATCTTAATACTGTCAAAGCTGATGCCAAAGGAAGGTGCCCGTCTCTATTTTCATTGTTGGATTCTCGTTTTCTTGCCCTTTATTGATTAAAAATCAAGGCTTGTGTTGGTTCCTTACAAAACTCTAGAAAAAAAAAAGTCAGATTGATTAAAGAGTTTCCTCCTTTTATTTATTTTTTGGTGTGTTCGTGTTAGCAAGGAGGGCATACACACTTCAAAAGTCAAGTACATACTCAAGAGGGGGAAGCCATATCTCTGGGTTCCTGAAAATGACATGCACAATGTTGTAAGGTTTTCACTATTGTTGTGGGTTTCTATGCTATGTTCATTTAGTGGCAATAATTCAGTCTGTTTATGTTTTAAAGCCTAAAAGCTGAATTAACAAACCAAGAAATCATATTGCTTTGTTCTAGAAAGAAACATAATTATTTGAAGAGAGTACCCATACATTACATGAAAATGATCTTTGATTTTTATTTCCCATGCAATTTATCTGCTGAAGTTGTCCAATTATTGTGTCTGATGCTGTTTGATTCATTACCTTTCTTGATGTAGAACACAATCATTGATGGGCGTGCTTCATTAGCTGTTGCTAGTCCCTTTCCTGGGCCTGTGGCAAAATTACTCAAATTGATGAAGAAGGTTAGTCCCGACTTTGACTTGTACTTCTTTTGTTGTAATTGCTTCACCGATATCTTCCACTCTCCTCTCCCACCATCATTTCCAGTACACCATAGTTATGCAGCAAGAGCCTAACATGCTGATATCTGTTCATGCTGCAGTTACCAGCAAGGATTGCTCTAAGTGGGGATGTAGTGCCTCTTAAGGAGGAAAAGGTGTGGCAATTTATAACTCAACTTTGAAAGACTATCCTTCTTTTGGGTGCCGTAGGGGAATATATATATATATTGCATACAGACCAGTCTGTTAATTTTCTGTGAACTTTCAGTTGTATAGTAACAAATTTGTTTGATAGAAAATGCATAGACTTTTTTTATGGCTGATGCTTCAGAACATTATTTCTTAGGAGAATTGACATGGGAGTTTTAGGAGTGTTCCAAATAAAATAGCTTTTCAGAATCTTCAGAATATACACTATGTACGCTGTATGTCTATGCCTCATGATACTTAAGCAATAAGAGAAGTTCAAATTCAGCGTCATTGGAAGGCCGCGAGTAGTTCATAAAAATATATCTGCCACTAATATTATCGTGAGAGAACGTGCAAATCTATATTGAAAATACTCCTGTTACTGGACCTAGCATGGAATAGAAGAAATGGCTGGCTCTTTCTGATCATAGGAAGCTGCAAGATCTTAGTGTTCAAGTTTAGTCTGATTGGTGAGCAGGACACTGATGACAAATCAGAGTCTGTTCTTTGCACTATTTTTTATTTTATACAATATCATGTTGAGTGTGGAAAAGGGAAAAAGAAAAACAAGTACTGCATTGACTATATACTTTTTCTCCTGTAATAGGCACATTTGGTTGCAGAATGCCTTGAAGAAGTCATGCTTTCTGAACGTAGGCAGATTGATGAGGCCTCCTATACAGTGTCTGGTGTATTAAGTTCTTCTAATCTTATTCGAAGGGAAAACTTTAAGGAGCTATTGAATGGTGGTGAAAAATTCCATATTTATAGATTTAATCTAAGGTACAAAACTCTTCAGTTACATATTATCAGTAGACTACTATTGTAAGCATCATTGAATATGAATCTAATTGTTCTGAACTGGCGTTCTATAGATCAAGGAAATTCTGATCTCAAATTTTGAGAAAAGTAAATACGCATTATAAACATGCATAATGAAAACTGCACATCTCAATTGTTTGAATTTATGTAATTAGGTGCTAACACATTTTAATGTTCTGCATTATGCAACTTTGGTAGTTAATTGGATCAAGTCAGTAGTAGAGGTCAACCTTTTCTGATAGAGAAAAAGTCATCAAAGCAGGAAAGATCATTATATGATGTTCCAATTGGGAATCTGCTGTTGTCACTTGTTATAAACCGAAGTATAATCTTTCATCTTTCTGAAAGGAAAAATAATAATAAAATAATGTATAGCATGTTATAGTTGAATCTTATGCAATCATGATTAGTACGAGTGTCTCATGTACAAAAAAGATAAAGTAAAAAAGTAACATGAATTGTGAGCTTGTTGTCCAGTTCATGCACGTTTCTTGATGGCCATGGACGCGCACTTGAAGTGGATATGGAAGCTATGGAAGCATCCAAAGCAGATCCATTAGGTAAAACCCTTGTTACAAGAAAAGATGATCGTTTGTTTGAGCTTAATGTGCATATATTGTCGCTGAAGATACATGTCGCATAACTGATCAAATAACATTTTAAAGTTGTTTCTCCTGCAGCATTTCTTTCTGCAAAGCTTATTGATGGCATCAATCAAAGTGAATCAAGGCGTAGAGCTCTAGTACTTTTTTGTTTCATACACATGAATGCAGATGCAAGAGTAAGATACCTTTGTTCATCATACCTTTTATATATATATACATATATATGCATATGATTGCTTTTGATAGTATTAAGTATGCATGAGATAAGTTTCTTCTCGTCATTTAATAGGTTTGAAAAGACCATTAGCCACGACATAGGATCCAGTCAATCAAATTTGGGGCATTCTAGAAGAACTTGCAAAGTTCAATGGTCTATCTAGTCACCCTAGGTGGTTCCATATGGAATGACTGTAGCCATTGACAAGAGAAGAAAAATTAAAATAATGTCAATAGCCTTGGGTTGAAGAGTCTCATCAATGTAACACACTGCTTGTCTTGCATTAAAAGTTTAGATGGATCTTTATCTTTACCGGCATAATAAAGGAAAGCCTTACTGGGCAACATGCTTAAAACAGTCATCTTTACATGTTGGTGCTTAACTTCTAGAAAATGCCAGTTTGTTCTTCTTAAGTGTGCGTGGAACGTTACTCATAACGACAATATGCATTTGGATCTTGGAACCCTCAAACTGTTGCCTATTTGATCAGGAAGCATATATGCTCTCTGTTGATCGCAAGGGATTTGATGTGCTGGCAAAAGTTCCTAGTCCACCATCAAAGGATGGCATCAGTGGATACCTATGGAAAGAATTCAGATTCCCTTTCAAGGAAGAGGCACGTGATGTTGAAACCTTTTGCCATCAGCTTGTTAAAATGGAAGAGGAGGCTGTCAGGAAGGTTTCTGGCTACAGCGGTTTAACATGATTCCCTTCCAAGAAACTGTCAAAGGTTATTCCTTCCAAGGAGCATATGATATTAAAGGTTTTTGCGTCTGCTTCAAAGATGGAGGAGAAGAAAGGTTTTCAGGACAGCAATTTAGAATCCGTACATTCATATTTCTATTTCTTCCGGTGCCCCTTGTAAGTTGCAACTAGTTGACCAAAAGTTGATCCTATTTTTGTTGCTCAAATTAGTCAATTTTTCTGCTTGCAGCAGGTTAACTTCATGTTCAGCGTATGCGTAGGGATCAAACGATATTTATGCATAGCTTCCTCGTGTTTCATTTTATGCATGCATGTATTGGATATATACTGACAGATAGGCCTGATTCAAATTTGTTGAGGTAGTGGTTCATTTCATTGCCAACAATGCTAAGTATATTACTCTCTTTTGCACATCAAACCATCAGATAAAATTATCAGTTCTATTTATCATTGTTCCAAAGTTAAATTGGTTGAAAATTTGTTCTTTCCATTCATTTCGCCAAGCTAGATTTGTTGAAAGGCTAGCCATCCAAGAGAGAAGTTTGTTGAAGTCAGTTATATGAATTCATAAAGAACTAAACACATCATTAGGACTTGCCTACAGTTTCGGCATATCAATGTCCTTAGATGCAAGCATGGATTGAATACCTTGAGCCCAGAATAAACTGTAAACCAGTTATATATATCAGGCGCGGTAGTAGGTTGGGAACAAAAATAATTCCTACCTCTCCAATAGCAGATGTATTAAAAATGCGATCTGAAAATAAGAAAATACTGTGACTGACTGTAGAAAATTAAACTACCATTATCCATGGAACCAATGACAACAAGCACCGAGAGCACCAACTTTTCATCATGTTTATAGGGAAAAAAAATCAAATGGGCAGTTAATCAACTTCTTCAATCTTGGGACCTGCACCACTGCCACTAGCTGGAGGAGCATCATCATCCATGTCACCACCCATGTCACCGCCAGCACCTTGATACATCTTGGCAATAATGGGATTGCAGATGCTCTCGAGCTCTTTCATCTTGTCCTCGAACTCGTCAGTCTCAGCAAGCTGGTTGCTGTCCAGCCATTGAATAGCCTCATCAATGGCATCCTCTATCTTCTTCTTGTCATCTGCAGCCAACTTAGAACTGATCTTGTCATCCTTAACAGTGTTCCTCATGTTGTAAGCATAGTTTTCCAAAGCATTCTTCGCCTCAACCTTTTTCTTGTGCTCCTCATCTTCTGACTTGTATTTCTCAGCCTCCTGGACCATCTTCTCAATCTCATCCTTGGACAACCTACCCTTATCGTTGGTAATGGTGATTTTGTTCTTTTGTCCAGTGGTCTTGTCCTCGGCTGAGACATTCAGGATACCATTTGCATCGATATCAAAGCACACAGTAATCTGAGGAACACCCCTGGGTGCAGGAGGAATGCCAGAGAGCTCGAATTTGCCAAGCAAGTTGTTGTCCCTGGTTCTTGTTCTCTCACCCTCGTAAACTTGGATTAGAACACCAGGTTGGTTGTCAGAGTAGGTTGAGAAAACTTGCTCCTTCTTTGTGGGAATGGTGGTGTTTCTTGGGATCAACACAGTCATAACTCCACCAGCAGTTTCCAATCCAAGAGACAGTGGAGTAACATCAAGAAGAAGCAGATCTTGCACCTTCTCATTGCCTTCACCACTCAAGATAGCAGCCTGAACAGCTGCCCCATAAGCAACGGCCTCATCGGGGTTGATGCTTTTGCAGAGCTCCTTCCCGTTGAAGAAGTCTTGCAAAAGCTGCTGCACCTTGGGAATCCTAGTGGAACCACCAACAAGGACAACATCATGGACAGAGCTCTTGTCCATCTTAGCATCCCTTAAACACTTCTCAACAGGCTCCATGCACTTCCTGAAGAGGTCCATGTTCATCTCCTCAAATCTTGCACGAGTAATGGTTGTATAAAAGTCAATACCCTCAAACAGAGAATCAATCTCAATGGTTGTCTGAGCAGTGGATGAGAGAGTCCTCTTCGCCCTCTCACAAGCAGTTCTCAACCTCCTAAGTGCTCTAGCATTTCCAGTAATATCCTTCTTATTCTTCCTCTTAAATTCTTGAACAAAGTGGTTCACCATTCTGTTATCAAAATCCTCACCTCCAAGATGGGTATCTCCAGCAGTAGCTTTCACCTCAAAGATACCCTCCTCAATGGTAAGAAGAGAGACATCAAAAGTACCACCACCCAAATCAAAAATTAGCACATTCTTCTCACCGACACTGGTTGCCTTCTTGTCAAGTCCATAAGCAATGGCGGCAGCAGTAGGCTCATTGATAATACGCATAACATTCAAACCAGCAATAACACCAGCATCCTTTGTGGCCTGTCTTTGAGAGTCATTGAAGTAAGCAGGGACCGTAACCACAGCATTCTTGATAGTGGAGCCAAGGTAAGCTTCAGCAATCTCACGCATCTTAATGAGAACCATAGATGAAATCTCCTCAGCTGCAAACTGCTTCTCCTCACCCTTGTAGGTAACCACAATCATTGGCTTATCACCAGGACCAGCAATGACCTTGAATGGCCAGAGCTTAATATCACTCTGTACTGAAGCATCAGTAAATCTTCTACCAATCAACCTCTTTGCATCTACAATACATAACCAGATACCAATTAGAAACAAAATTCAATCAATTAACTTACTAATGACTAAAAATTAAAACTACAAAATTCCCTAAAAATTAAAACTACAAAATTCCCTAAAAATAACAATTAATCTCTAAACAATCAAAGTTTCTGTATAAACCACTAGATAGCAGGATTGTAATTACCAAAAAAAAAAAAATACCGGATCTGAAAGCAGTATACCAACCATCTACCAAAACTAAAATTATATATAGAGTTCGATATATTAATTCCAATTTGCCAAGATATAATCAAAGTATGATACTGTTATATTATATATATGAAAAAAAAATCATAAATATATCTTTAAATTAAAGCTTTCTTGTCTAAGATCAAAACACTATAGGAACGTCTTTTAAAGAATACTAACCAAAAACGGTGTTGATTGGGTTCATGGCGACCTGGTTCTTTGCAGCATCGCCAATCAAACGTTCTGAATCAGTGAATGCAACATAAGACGGTGTCGTTCTGTTGCCTTGATCGTTAGCTATAATTTCAACTCTATCATGTTGCCAGACACCAACGCATGAGTAGGTTGTGCCTAGATCGATACCGATGGCAGGTCCTTCTCCTTTTCCGGCCATTATAAAACAAATTTATAACAATACGGCAGACTAATAAAAAAGAAAATTATCGATTTGGTTTCGCGTAATGCGAGTGTGCTATTTTGTTAGGAGGGGTGGATATATATAGTTATTTTGGAGTTCAGTTCTAGAATGTTCGGTGGAGAAAGGGTGGATCTGAGGCGTTGATTTTGGCTTTGTTGACGGTTTAGATAGGTTGAACTTACAGGGAAATTTCAGAGCGTGATTTCAAATTGTGTTTTCCTTAATGGGATGGCTTTTCTGACCTGGTCGAGCCGACATGCGTTGCGAGTTTGTAAATTGGTTATATTGAAACGACATGTCGCAAGGATTATTAGGTGCATGATTTATTAGTGCATGTTCCTAGAATGCTGCCATCGGTAAAATACATGCATGGTGTGTTTGTTCGTAATGTACTATGATTGACAGCGATGTGAGTGGTGACGTGCTATGAGGTGAAAAAAGCAAGCCACCAAGGAGCCATGCCCAGCAAAAGGGCTGTGTTCAAATTTGTTTAGCTTTCTCTACGTTTAGATATTTGTTTAGATTTTGATAGGTTTAGGCCCGTTAATTTCAAATCGAACCATTTAAATTGACTGTGAATTTATGAATCAGCTTGACTTAAAGTTTTACTAGTTTTCATTTTATACAAGGAAGGGAAATATTTTTGAAAGTTTTTTATTTGCATTTAATTGATAATATATATTTTGTTTGATGTACTTGAAACTTTAATATAATAGTTAAAAACTCAGTCTTGTTTCTTTGTGATTTTTTTTAAATATAGAAAACGAGAAAATAAAGAAAATACTTTTATTAATTAAAAAGGAAAATTGTTTTTTTTTTTTTTTTTTTTTGGAAAATGCACGTTTTCTAATTCTATAATTCTCTGAAAATTTGGAAAAAATATTAATTTTTTTTTTATATATAGATTCTCCATAGTAAAAAATAATGCCCTTGTTTGATTCACCCAATGTTTTGTGTCATTCATTTTTATTGTTTTCAAAATAAGGCAAACAAGACCCATATTTTCCATTTTGAAAATTTTCTACTTAGCAAACATTTTTCCTTAATTTTCCATAGGAAAATCTTTATAGAAGAAAGTAGAAAACCAGAGATGAAAACGAAAAGGTTATATTATAAAACTAAACACAACCTGTTTTTAAGCTTGTGCAATTTCATAATAATTTAAAAACTATTGAAATTTCATAGGATTGTCAAAATAATTTTCTACAGTCAATGGTGGAGTTAGGGTGTTTTTCTTGGAGGGGCCAAATATATAAAGGAATGACCATTCATTTGTAATATTAGACACAAATAAAAATAATATTTTTAAAGAGTAATGCTATAATATTTTTTTAGAAAAAAACTTAAAAAATAAAAAAATCCAAATGATCAATTAAAATCCAATGAATCATGTGTATCCTTCTCGAAATTTTTTTTTATGATTGCTAATTTTTTTCTCGATATTTAACATTTTTTCTGAAATTATAATTTATCTTATATGACAATATAAAACACTATCAATTGAAAAAAGAAAAAAGAAACCGGTATTCAATTAAAAATAGAGAAAGAGATTAATTAATTTAAATTCAATTTAGATGTGGAATGGTTGAAGTGAGAGATAGTATTAAATCAATTTAGAAAGTAAGATGCGAAAGACAAAAAAACTAATTAAATGCAATTTTATTCCAATTTAATTAATATCATATTATTTTATAGAAAGTAAATGGTTCATAATATTTACGAGACTATAAAATTTAT